AGTCATATAAATTGATAAATGCCATTTGTGGCGCTGTAAACACGGATTCCTAGAAGGCGATTCTCTGCTGAGCCACCGTTCGAAAATAATCTGTTGGGTGTTCGACAAGGATTGATTCCAAGCCCGAGTATTTTTCTCTTTTAAAAAGCGATGTTGTCCAAGCGTCGTCTTACAATTCCACACCTGTCTTCTGGCAAACGACTTTACCGCCAAATCGTAGCGAATTCTGAAATCTATCATATAATATGTGCTGTAGCGACCTTGTCTCCGTGGTTTCTAAACACTTATAAGCGTGAGTGAACTTTCAGTCACATATGACGATTTTAATATGGTTTCATATTTTTAATAAGCATGTGGTATATCTATGAAGTGATAACACGGACGTGATTTTAGCTCAACCATGTCAGTAAAATAATACACAAGTAAGTAAGTTATGAAATTTATTTTTAGAATAATCCAATATTTGACACTTTTCACATTATTATAATATATAACCTTAAATCGTAGGGTAAATGTGTACAAGAGTGCGAATATGTATAAGAGTACGCACTGATGATTTCTGCTTATTAGTGCCATCTGGGTAAGATGAAGTTATACCATTCAGAATTTAATGCTAAACCTGAGATAAAGGTGCAAAAGTGACCTGAATATAGTTTATAGTTTGGTCGTACTGACGATTTTATGTTCACACGTTGTGTGGATGTAATTTTTACCGCTCATAGTTTTAGTTTTTGTAAAGTACGTACCAGTTCTTTTATTTTACAGTAATAATTTTCATTAGTTGCAACTTTTAAGGTCTCCTTATACACTAACAGTTTTATACTTTCTAACCATCAAAAGCTTTTAACTTTGAAAACATTAGGTTATGTACAAATGTACAAGAGTGCGCAGCGAGGTATTGTATAAGAGTGCGCATTGCTTGCAATACGTAGTCTAATAGTCTCGGAGATACATATCATACGATAATGAATTATTTAATTCTACTACTTTGTACTGCTTCTCAAGTTGTGTGGTGGTGGTTATGGTGATTTTTTTTTTATTTTTACTTCCTGAGCGTGTTGTAATCGGGTCCGTCGACCGACTCTCTATTTTTACGTTTTCTCGACTTTTCAAGACCCCTAGCGTACGAAAAAATAGGTCTCCCGTTTTATGTGTAGTCTGTAGTCACTTATTTCCATTTATTTTCATCTTAGAAACAAATATTTTTTCATAAAATGTAATGCGCACTCATAAGCGTTCAAATGCGCACTCTTGAGCACTGAACTGTCTAAGAGTGCGCATTTACACATGTTGACAAAAATTGAAATTACTCTTAAAATATAGTGGTCTTGGGACGTACAATTAAATATATCAGATCTCTAAACATGTATATAACGACCCCATGTCATAAAATTTGTCTATCCAAAAAAATTAAAAAGTTGTTGACAGTTTTACACTAAGTGCGTACTCTTGTACACATTTACCCTACATGTCAATAACACTTTTTATCCACTCGTGAAATGAATCGCTCGGTTTTACGCCTCGCGTACTAAACTTCCAACACGTGAATAAAACCCGTCTTCTCGAGTCCACAGCTCATGGCTACTGTGGTCGATTGCGTATGCTTCATTGTCATTGTTTGAAAAATTGATCAAGCGTTCGATTGCACGCAGAATTTTCTCCATTACCATCAAGCTCTTATCGAAATTTCAATTTCACAGCTCTATTCCACCGATTTCAAAGAAAATTTAATCGACACCTTGTAGCGAATTCTCAAATGTCGCAGTTTATAGCTGTGAGACCATATCTCCAGTTTTAATAAGACAATTTACGCTATCAGAGAATTTGTGTTTCCTGGTTTATATACGACAATAATAAAGTATCTCAGATAAAACTCCGTGGCTTTATATCCTGAGAACAGACACACAATTCTGTAAACGCCTTTGTTTTTAGCTTGCACTTCACTATGTAAAAAATGCTGCACCCTGACACTTCGTATGCTTGAATATTTAAATTTCCATGCAATGTAGTGAGGAAATGATTAATTTAAGCTTCGCATCATGTGACAACAAAGTACAAAAATCTGACAACAGTGCTACATTTCTCCACTATTGATTAACCCTGCGCACTCGGATTGTTGAATCGACACATCTCGAGAATATTTGTTCCAGAAAGTAAGCAAACAACAATAGAGGATTTAACAGCCAATTTGTACTGTTTGCGTTCTTAAATGATCCCTGAAATGTTTTTTTTGTCACAACATTAGAATTTATGGAGGATCTGGGAATTACTGCCCATCATGTCGAATGAGACGTGGGATATGGAAGAATTAAAGAAAACAAAAGATACATAAAACATCAGGAATAGACGTGACGTGTCTGATGAAAATTAGAAAATTTTTGTTCCCTTGATGATCATTTTAATAATGGCAGTGTTAAATTGATTGTGATGCGTTCAGTTTTATTACATTCCAGTTACATTTAATTTGTATTTTTAAATGATCTTGAACTCGTGAGACTAGACTGCTGTATATTCTACCTTACGTCTCACTACTGCTTGCCGTTCCGTTTTAAGAATATATACGATATGGTTAGGGACGAACGCCGGTGATCCTTACTTCTGAAGCAACGTTTGAAATGTTCAGCTGTGTTTCACAGTATGATGCAACGGGCGATGATGGACCTCGCCAGTCACCCTCAAATAAATAATAAATAAAATCATCTTCTAGAAGTTACCTCGATCACCATTTTTAGTTAAATTTTTTAAACATGTTTCAAACGAGTTAACAACTGGATCTAGTTCTATAAATAAAGCTGCAAATATCAAGTTACTGTTCGTATGAAAAGGCGACTGATCAGCCGGGTAGTTTCTAGCATTTTGGATAATAAATATTCCTGAAGTCCTGTGATAGATCGTTCGAGGTGAAACACCCTGCATGTATTCGGTCACCGATGTCATGGCAACGTCCACTTCAAGAATAAATAAACCTTGCTACTGAAAAATGTACATATCATTCTGTAACGTGAGACAAACGAATTTGCATTCAAGCAAATTCGTTTGTCTCACGTTACTTTTTTATTTTTTTAATTCACCCATTTCCACTTTCCCGCTCATCCTTGAGGAATTTTTTGCCTCCGTTATTTATGTCGTTTTACCTCCGTACCAAGTCGCAATAAAACACGCAAAAATATCGGTTTCGAAATTCGAATAAAATCCAGCCACCCGCTGTTAACATATAAACAAATACCGAAAAACATATTCACGACCATAAATTACACAACAATATGCAAAAACTCCTCGCGGTTGGTGCGCTCGCTCTCGTTCCAAGGCCGCGGCGAGCGCGTGTGCGAAATCGCGCCGATGCCCGGCATCCAGGCAAGCGTTGCCGGATCGGATCGGCCCGTTTGTTGTATTTGATCGCGTTGGCTGCGGTATGGTCTAGTTGTGACGAGATGACGACGGCGGCCCGCCGCCCCCTCCTTCGTACCCAACTATAACTAACTGGATTCCGATCCGACAAAATGCGACGTCATACACAACAATGAAGCCACTAACAAAGATTAATGTTTGAGAATCGGATTGTCGCAGGGTCTCGGGGGGAGGCGACGCCGGCTTAAACGATGAAAAGCGCTTTTTTGCCGGTAATGAGGAAGTCGTTATCGGGCTCGGGGAAATCGTGACGCGGTATTGCAAAACGGGGAGTGTGTCAAGGAGAGGGCGAGGATGTGTCGTGAAGAAATCCGACAGGGAAAAGTTAAATTTTATGTAAAATTAAATGTAACTAAGATGACGTCATGAAATTTGTGGAGGGATGGAAGTCTACAAGCTTTTATTCTGAGTTAAACACGTTATTATTCACTAAAAAATTATTAGACAATATGTAAAAAAGTAAAATGTTGTCAATTATGTAACCCATTTAAGGAATTATTGTTAAATAAAATTATGATAACCATGTTTACAAATATATATACGTAGACGCAGCTTTACACATAAAAATTTATAACGATAATAATACTTACCTAATGTTTATTGATACATTCTCAGACACAATAGTAAATCACAGATTTGCATGACAGACATGCATAACAATAAAATTCTTAATCTGACTTATTTTCTGCTTACTCAGATGGAGAACATTCAATAAACATCTAATCCTATTTGTGTTGGGTGTTTTTGTAATAATCCTCAAAGGAAGCAAACTGTTTGTTTGTGTTCAGAAGATTATTACCAGAGGAAAGAAATATCGAATTTTTCTAAACAGTGCGTCACGGAGGTTTCAGGAGTTGCGTTCTAAAAATACGAGATATACCGCTTTAAACACACTATATTTTGCAAAAAATCCGCAACTAAGGTAAATAACTCCCGAAAATCGACCATTTTACTGAAATGCTTCAATCTTTGATGATCTTGTCACTACTAATCTTGTGAAAACTTCCTGTGTTCTAAAAATTGTAGAATATCATCTTGTTACAATTTAAATTTCCTCCTCTAAGTTAAAAACGTTCAAGTGCAGACGCGAAACCACTTCTAATTTTCTATTCTCGTCGCTTCCTCATTAAAACCCCATCCAAATCGCCATCTAATCCCACCGTGAGAACTTCCACCGCCAAAATCCCATCACGTATTCTTTTCTCAGGGCCGTACGTGAGGACGTTCCGAGAATAGGCGTCTCTTTGAATAAACACGTGACGGACAATACGAATACGAATTGTAAGAACGGCGCGAATACGAAAGAGATAACACGACGGATAAAACCTGTTGTCGTATATCTTAATTTGCTGTCTTATTCAAATGAGATGTCGCCGAAGTGTGCCAAACGAATACGGGAAAAGAAACGAGGAGAGAAGCGAACGGATTATTCAACATGTGTGCAGGCAGACGAATGATTCATCGGCCATTTTGAAAGCGGTGGAGATAAATTGCGGACGAGGCAACAAAGGGACTGGATGCATAAATTAAGGGTGAGGAGAGGTTAGGCAGCCAGTTATACACCTGCATAGTGCAGGTGCATACAACTCAAATTACGTGCTCGTTTTTTTTTTTAATGCTAAACAATAAACAACAATTTCAGATTTTCGTTTCAACCCTTCATGCTGAATCCAGTCCCGCTGAAAGCCCTGAACTGACTAGATTCCTCGCTCTCCTTTCCTGGTTTAGTGGATCGCCGTATAAACCGCAGCGTTCCAATTTGATAATCATAGTCTGGAATACCTCGGACGTAGACGGGTTTAGGCGGGATGATATCACTCGTTGCTGAATCCTTGCGCTTTTTCCCGTCTAGTCGGTTTCCGGCGCCTCTGAAAGCAACAAAACCTGTGGGCTCAGGCATGAGATCAGCAGGATCCACAGCCATTTCTTCATCTTCTTTTTTCTCTTGTTGTGGCTCTTTGTAGCCCACCGGTGGAGCAAATTCTACCTGTGTATCAATGAATAATAAACGATTGTAAAATCTTGCAAAAACTTTGGAATTGTGTCAATAATCTAATTCTTACATTCATGTCACACTCGATTATACTGATGGCATTCCCAGGCTTCGTCTCAAGGACACACAATTCATAAATTTTCTGGTTGTATTTAACGGCTATCACGTCCCCTGTAGTCAGACAAGCGAACGAACGCAAACAATTCTCAAGGACGGCCTTTGGATTCGTAATATCGAGAAAATCGGGCGACAGAGGTTGGAATTTTGAGAATGTGCCCACCGGTAACGACACACTTTCCATTTGTACCATGTCCCCTTCTTCGAGCACCATATTCTGCATCATCTACCAACGAAAATTACTAGTCCAGTTTAACGGAATAGTACTAACTTACCCATAAAGGTAAGTACACTTTTCCTTCGTCCGCCACGAACTCCAAGACCCCACAATGCGTCACTCTGTTCGTTTTTTTGTTGGTGAGTTTAAACAACATTGGGTAGTTGATGTTGAGCCGGGTTAGTTGTTCGAGGGCCGAAGGTGGCATTATTACTAAAAAACGAAATTGGTTGTGGGGGATTTTCACAAAAATTGGGGCTTACTTTTGCCGCCGCGTTCCACGTCCTGTCTTTCATTTCCCGGCAACATTGCCACCGAATGGCACTTGTAGATCATGTTGAAGGGCCGCGGAATCTCCGGGAACATGTTGAAACCGAACTGAAACTAAACAAAGGAGTAAAGGAATGCAAGAGTTAAAGAATGTTACCATTGTTGTGCAGTTTTGTCTATTTGTTTAAAATACGGTCTCGATGACTTTGTTTATTTTGACAAGTGACAAGTGACAGATGAGTAATGTCGCCACCATCAGATATTTTCACTTGTGTTTGTATGATTGGCTGCATATAAAATAAGTGTGATTGATAATAATCATAGCACAATTTTAAATGCAAATGTAACATGTTTTTTGGTTTTCTTTCAGCACAATCAAATTATTTTACAAGAATCTTGGTAATAAAACCATTTTTGTACAACAATTTGAACATATGACAAGTGACACAATTACAGTTTCCTGTAATTACAAATACGTCGCTTCGCCCCAAAAATTCGCAAAATTAGCTCCATTTTTGAATATAACCCCCCAATCAACAACCCCTTGACTTCCACGACCCCTACCCTCTACAAACCGCACACCCCCCCAGCTCCTACAATGTCAAACGTCAACCCAAAATAACCATCTAATTTTAGCTAAATCGCCTCTCTTCTCGAACCAACTAGAAATTTCGACTCCCCCTACATATAAATAGGTTCTGGAGGCATGTCCCCCAGTTTAAAATAAAACTAAACGTGTCGAAACATCATAACCTCAAACCCAAAATGCCGGAGACAAGTGAGTCACTAAGGCGCAAAGAAGAAGGTAATGAGGCCTTTAAAAACGGCGACTGGGACTCCGCCGTCGAGCTTTACACCGAAGCCATCGAAGTACATCACGGCGAAAACACGGACTTGGCAGTGTTTTATAAAAATAGGGCGGCGGCCTACTTGAAGTTGGAGAAGTACAAAGAAGCGATCAGGGACTGCGACAGGAGTTTGGAGATTGTGAAAAACGACCCGAAGGCGTTGTTCAGGCGGTGCCAGGCTTTGGAGAGTTTGGAGAGGTACGAAGAAGCGTATCGAGATGCCACCCAGATTTTTAAAGATGACCCGAATAATAAAGCCATGCAGGGGGTGCTGGAGCGACTGCACAAAGTCGTGCAAGATAGGGTCAAACAGAACGCTCAAACCAGCACTAAGTTGGAGAGCATGGTGAAGATAGCGTTTGATTTGGAAGCCGATATAGAGAAACGGGAAACGGCGATGAAGAATTTAATGGTGTTGGCGAGGGAGAACGCCGGGTCGAGTTTAATGATTAAGTCGCCGGTGGTTCAACAGATTAAGAAGTTGTTGAAGGTGGAGAAGAACAGAGAAATTTATATTACAGGTAATGCAGCCAATTTTTGTTGTACTTACTTTATTTAATTGTCAAAATTGGGTTTATTGTTATAGGTGTTCGTATTATTGGCGAGCTTTGCAAACACGACGTTGACAAGACTAGAGCAGTGATGCGCGACGTGGGTATCCCTTGGTTCCTGGAGATCCTTGATTCCACGTGCGAGACCCAAGTCAACGCCGCCCAGTTCTGTATCCAACAAATCCTGAATATCTTTTCCGGAATGGACAACAAAACCGACACTAAACCCGATCCCGAGCTTTGTACCAAGCACAAGCAGGATATTGACATGGTCCTCACTTGTCTTGTCTACTCCATCAATAACCGGGTTATTTCGGGCCTTGCCCGTGACGCTATCATTGAACTACTCATCCGCAACATCCACTACACCACCTTAAATTGGGCTGAGCAGCTCGTCGAAATTGGGGGCGTCGAGAGACTCCTCGACTGCGCCTCGGAACTCGAGGAATGCAAATACGAGAGCGCTATGAACATCACCCCATCCACCCGCACCATCGCCGCCGTCTGTCTATCACGAATCTTCGAGAACATGTACTACGACGAAGCGAAAGAGAAGTTCATGGGGAAAATCGAGAGTTTTCTAAAAGACAAGCTTTTGAATCCTGAAATCGAGTCAAAAGTGAGGGTCACCGTGGCCATTACGACGTTGCTACGGGGGCCCATCGACGTGGGGAACGCCATAATCGCGAAAGAGGGGATCATTGAGATGATCCTGGTGATGGCGAACACGGAGGACGTTCTTCAGCAGAAGGTGGCATGCGAGTGCATCATCGCCGCGGCGAGCAAAGCGGATAAAGCGAAGGCGATTATCTCTCAGGGGATACACATTTTGAAACAGCTGTATAAGTCGGGGGAGGATGCGATCAGGGTGAGGGCTTTAGTGGGGCTGTGCAAACTAGGGAGCTCCGGAGGGAGCGACGCTGCAGCTAAACCGTTCGCTGACGGGTCGAACTTGAAGCTGGCGGAGGCCTGCAGGAAGTTCCTGTTGCACCCCGGGAAGGACCAGGACGTGAGGAAGTGGGCTGCGGAAGGTGAGTATTTTTTTAAAGTGACTTAAGTACTGTTTGCTATTGCATATTCAACAAATTAAAATAGATTGCTGGCAAATCACTGCAAAAAAATACATTTGGAAATTCACCAAGCGCTTAGAGAGTAGCCAAAGAAATTACGACGTATACTTTCTGCACAAATAACAATAATAATGACCTTGTCAAATTTATTGGGCTGCATTTTTTCAATTCCAGGCCTCTCGTACCTCACCCTCGACGCCGAAGTCAAAGAAAAGCTCGTCCAGGACAAACCCGCGCTTCAGTCCCTCATCAACCTCGCCCAGACTGGAGACCAGTCCTGCCTCTACGGCGTAGTCACCACCCTAGTGAATCTCTGCAACGCCTATGAAAAGCAAGAAATCATCCCCGAAATGGTTGAGCTCGCGAAGTTTGCCAAACAACACATCCCCGAGGAGCACGAGCTCGACGATTCCGACTTCGTGACGGAACGCATCATCGCCTTAGGCAAAGAAGGAGTGACTACGGCCCTGGTGGCCCTCAGCAAAACCGAAAGCCCCAACTCCCAAGAACTGATAGCTAGAGTATTCAACGCGCTGTGCAGCGAGCACGAAATCCGCGGAATCGTGGTGTCGCAAGGGGGCTCCAAGGCGCTGATGACTCTTGCCCACAAGGGCACGGAAAAGGGGAAAAAGCACGCAGCGCAGGCTCTAGCACGGATCGCGATCACGATGAACCCCGACGTGGCATTCCCGGGACAGAGGACGCTGGAGGTGATTCGGCCCCTAGTAGGGCTGCTACACCAAGACTGTTCCGGACTGGAGAACTTCGAGGCTTTAATGGCGCTTTGTAACATCGCGCAAATCAGCGAGACCGCGAGGCAGAGGATACTTCGAGAGAAAGGCTTGTCAAAAATTGAGCACTACATGTTTGAAGATCACCAGATGTTGTGTAGGGCTGCTACTCAGTGTCTCACCAACATGACACTCTCCCCCGACGTGATTAAAATCCACGAAGGGAACAACGATAAAGTCAAGTATTTGGTGTCGCTCGCGATGGACGAGGATGTCGAAACGGCCACCGCAGCCTCCGGGGCTCTTGCCATTTTAACCAGTAACAGCAAACGCTGTTGTGAAAAACTCTTCGAGTCGAAGAATTGGTTAGAAGCTATGCACGTTTTGCTGGCCAACCCCACGGGGAACGTGCAGTTCCGGGGTGTCACCATCGTTAGAAATATCATCGAGAGTTCCATAGATCTCACGAGGCAGTTAATGGAGACCGATGTGATGGAGATCCTCATGGCTTTGACGAAAATCCCGCCGGACGAAAACCGAGAAAAAATCATTCAGACGGCAGAGGAGGCGCTGAAGCTCGCCGAAAACTGGGGGGTTATCATGAAACCCGACGATGAATAGTACTTAAGATACAAAGTGTGCCTTTTATACCATTTGTATTATCGCAAGTTAATAAATGATTGTTTAAATACCTGGCGTCGAATTCCTGTTCTTCGGGGCATTATGGGGGCTGGGGTGATTCAAAGACACGGCAAATTTAAACTTTGAACACTCGATTTCACGTTTGAAAAAGTTATGGATGTGGTTAGAGTGTCGAAGCGCCATGTTGGCCTTCGAAGTTTGGGAAAGTTGGAAAAGGGGGGAGAAAAATTAAATGGGGGGTGGAATGACAGAACTTGAGGCATTTGTAACGATTAATTGACAAACGTCAGGATTACGACAATTATTTGTTTATTTTTTGGCATGTCGAAATCGTAATTCGGATGTGGCTGTAACCACCGCTGATTTGAAAGTGTTTTTTTAGCTCAAATAAGATAAGGTGTTGATAATTATTTCGAGATTATTTTGTTTATTTGTAGGCATTTTTCCAGCAGAATGAAACTCAATACACGAAAGATAAAATACTTTTGTTTAACAGGATAATTAGATTTAGTGGTTATCGTAACCACAGTCTTATTTATCATAACTGTTCGATAGATGTTGTCACTAGATGATGCAATAATGTTTCGTCGGATGTTGCCATGCTCGTAAATAGGATTATCCACCCATTTCCGGTCGGGGACCCATAAATCAAGAGGGGATTATAAAATACCGAGAACGGCGGGTTGATTAGTCTTTTGGAACAAAAACTGCATGTATAGTTTCCGTTTTCGTTTACCTGTTGATAGTGGTTAAACATTCATTTTAGAATTTCCACGTTTTTAAATATTATATGTATTTTTACTATTTTTAGTAATGTTTTAATGTCATATTTTCAATAATTTTCATTTTGACGGTTATTATTAAAATGATTTCAATACTGATGTATCGATAATAATCATCTTTAGCTTCATAATGACAGTATTCTTACTAATATAATTTATTATTGAAAACTGACAGTTCATAATGGATATCTTTTTTGATGCATTTTTTCAAGAAATATATAAAGATTTAAGAATGAATATTCCTAAAACATCTTTTACGTGCTAACCTTTCACCGGTCCTTCCTGGTATTTTATAATTCTCTGGTATTTATTGTGGGTCCCCGACAAAGAAGGGGTGGATAACCCAAAGCACTCAGTTTACTGCTAGGTAAAATCCCAACTTAATTACATTACAACATCCGGTTCAAACACAGCTGGTTTCTACTATACTATGTAATTTAAATAACAATATTGTCTAGGGAAATTTTTGGTGCTGGTTTTCTCAGCTTTGCATTTAACAGTTTTTCAGTTTTCTCGGTATTGTTGCAATTTTGATAAATTTGTCGGGAAACAATGCAAAAACTAAAAATATAAAAACAAACTTCAACAAAAATAAAATTTGTAAAATTATTGCAACATAAGTTTGGTCTGTGTAATCAGAAATCAGAACTTTTTTGTCTCCACCTCGAAAAATATTTCTTGTTTCTGAATCACTTGCTGCCCTTTATCTTTTTCTTTAATGCAAACTATTAATCTATTTTAAATCAGACTTGTTTGCAACAAGTTTTGTTGTTCCTTATTAGACTTTATTTGATAAAAAAAAATGTTCCATTTGTCGAGTTCCAATTCATGGGCGCCAAATTTGAAATACAACTTATTAAAATTGATTATTTTAATAAATAACCTTGGATATTTAGCCGGATATTTTTCGGCGACCTATTTACTAACAAGTAACAATATTATTAATAATTATTATTATTATAGAGTTAAATAAATTCTCATTGGTGCCTAAACGACGACAAAGTGACAACATTCGGCGAACACATTCTCCCCAACCCATTTATTTCCAACACATCAAACCTTGAACCAAAACCACCCGCAACAATAGCCCCTTGTTAACATGATTCGCAATACCGAACGAACCCAATCCACTTTAGGCCCCAAATCTCCAAGCAACCCCAAATCGCCGCCTCCTCCGCACCCGCACATCGTGGCCTTAGCTACAACCCCGCATCTCATTCCTGACGCCTCCACCGCCTCCAACCCTCTCAAGCCGCCCCATGCACTTCCCAATCACTCCCCCCCCCCAGCCTCGTGTCCCCTCCATGCCGGCGCCGCTCCCGCTCAATTCGCCAACATTTTGACATTTGACAGCAGAAGCAATTCGCACCTGTTTGTCAAAATTCGCAAAATCGCTGTTTTCGCCGTTTCAACGCACGTTCGGGGGTGAATTTGTGAGTTATACGCACCGTCCACCCTTAAAATGCGGGGTGGGGCGTGAGTCTGAGCCAGCCAAGTGATTTTCGGTGAATGTAGGTTAGTGTTCAGTTCGACGCGAATGGTTGAACTCGGTGCCCCCATTTCTAGTGCAATCGTACGTTGCTGTGATATTTAGGCTTAGTCGAGATGGAGGAGTTTAAAAATGAGGTTGTCAGGAGCATTCGGTCGTGCTTGATTTCAACGAAGGGGAAAATCACGCTGAGGCAGCTGGAAGGTGAGTCGGGGGTGGAGAGCTGGGGGCGGGGAACCCCGCTGCTTTGTAATCGAGGAATTATCTATCTGTGTGATTACGGGGAATTGGCGATTGTTGAATTTTTTTGTATCGTGTGTACGGTAATAGTGCATACATTTTTTTATGTGGTAACCCACTATTAATATACTGTTATAATTTATAACTTATTAAACGCAATGATGCGGAAATGACTCGCATTCTCTTCCTTGGATAGTGCTACAGTTAGATGCTTGTATTGTTGTTGGGGCTGTAAAAGTGAAAGTTCGGGCAGGTCAAGATGAACTTTTTGTTTTCGTGCGATTTCCTTTCGGTTTTACAGATCATTGATTTTTTATGGATGTTGGGGGAAATAATTAATGAGCCGACTGCCTTTCTTGATTGTAAACGAGAATAATTAATTATATTTGCAGTAGAAATTCCACTGAATTGATAAAACAGCGTTTTTTAACGAAGTGCACTTCATGAATTAGTCGAGCAAAACGTAGACACTTTGAAATTAAATTACAAAGTTTGAATCGTCTGAAAGATTAAATATTAATTCAATTTCTTCAACGTAGCTGCCTTGTTCAGTTTCCATACTTGACAAAACTTGTGATGATTAATTTAGTGTGAAATGCATGCTTGTGTGCATTTCGTTGTGTAATTTTTTATTATAAAATCTTAGCGTTATCTGTGAGTTGTTAACAGAGATAAGTTTTGTGTGACTTGAGGCATTGTGTGCAATGCAATTACGTGTTAAGTGCAAATTAACTAATTTAGATCAGATTTAAAAGTCTACTTTTTTTAAAACGTGCTAAAATTTTCGCTTATTCAATTAACCTAACGTTGTGTCAAACTTAGCTTTCTGATAATCAACCAGTGAGTAGAACACTGAACAACATAAAACACTATTTAACGGTCAATTTCTCTTCGATTAACTACTCAAACAATGAGTCGTTCGTTTACAATAGAATTGTCTTGATAAAAAAAATACAGTAAATCTAGCTAAGTGACCACTTCTGGCTCCAGATGTCGGTCCCAATCACCCATTCCGCTCCACGTTTCGAACCCATAAATAGGACACATAATGCGGCACCATAAATTTTTTAGCACTCGACCATTTCCTGGAAACTCCCCGGCAATAAATTCACTTTGTCTCGTACCCAACCATAACAACCGTGACAACCAATTTGTTTTCTAATTTTATAGAGCCGTTTTCCCATCTGGGTCGGCGTATTATTATTGTTCTTTGTAATTAGTCTTACTTGTCGTGTCGATTTTAACACAAGGTCAACAGTGCCAACGCTCCGATTTCTACCGTGAACTTAATTCTTGGTCAATTACAAAGAAAGTGTTTATGCAGTTTTATTTTTTTTAATTTTTGTTTTTTATTTTTTTCAGATGACTACCGCACGCTCCTCGGCGAACGCATCCCCTACCACAAGCTCGGCCACAAATCGCTCGAGCTCTTCATCCAATCAGTGCCCTCGCTGATAACGTCACGTGGCCCGAACGGCGAGATGTTCGTGGACGCCCAGGTGTCGGAAAAGACTGCCCACATCTCGTCGATGGTGCAGAAACAAAAAACCGCCGCCCCCAAGAAGAAAGTGCGGATTACGCAGGCCCCCAGGTTCAACAGGGCGGTGACGCAGCCGCCCCCGAACACCACCAAGTGGCGGCCGAAGCGGAATCCGTACGTGGGGGCGCCGCGTAAGACGTACCAGCAGTCGTCGCGGCTGTCGGCGGTGTCCCACAACCAGTTCGTCAGCGGGGGCGGCTACGCGCGGCCGCGGGTGCCCTCGAAGGTGGTGGTGCCCGAGAGGAGCGAGGTGAGCGCCCATATTAGTCAGTTTTATGTTTTGAAACATCATTTTCGTGTTTAGTTTAATACGGTTAAGCATCACTCGCCTCCAAAAGAACTGACCAGACACAACTCATCTCCTGATAAAATGGTCAGCGACACCAATGGGTCCACTACCATCGACGACGAATGCTCACCTTTATCTAGTACCATGAGACGGATATCGAAGATCATGTCTGGAATCAGCATGGAGAGGGACAGCGGGAACAGCAGCCCTACGACAGAGTTTGCTTCGAATTATAAGGTAAACGTGATCACCTATTTGTTATTAAGTGACGTTATTGTATTCTCTACGAATACAACAACGTTACTTAAATTTCAAAAACAAACAAAACCGCCTTCGCCTACGTCGCAGTGACGAATCCGTCTGCGATTTTAACAACGCGAGAAGCCGCAACCGAGACTGCGACATTGCGAAATTCGAGATTTTCCCTTGTCGGTGTTTTCCCTACATCGTCCGTTTTTCTTCGGCCGGACTCGCCGGTCGAGTAAAGCACGCCACGCCCACGTAAAAAACGCTTAGCTTATTTACGTGCTGCAATCTCCGCGGCGCTCCGGAATGGCCAAAATTCAGGTAACACCTGCAGAATATTAATTCTCGTTGTTGGAATTCGCGCCGCCTTTGCATAACTGGTCTAATTACGAGCGTGGAAGCGAAGTCGGGCGTTGTTTTATTCGATGCGATTAAATTCTGTTGATTTCGCAAAATTTAAAAACTGTTGCAGATTGTACAGGAATTCGCAAAGACGGGCGATCCGATTCAAGATATCAGGAATTTCGCCGCATACCATAAACTGGGAGACGTCGAGGTCAAATTCACCGAAACGAGATTGAAGAAGTCGAAAGTCGCACATTGTCACTGCAAGATCACGGTGAGTGGGGGTAATTGGAGTTGTTGGGTGGTAATCGCGTGGCCGTGGAGCGTATGTAGTTGGTTGTAAATTATGGCTTGCGGCGCTTGGTACGTCGTAGAATGCGGAAGTGCAGGTTTTTCAAAAAGAGTACTTCGAAATTTTAAGTGCTTTGAGCTTATCAGCTGGAAAGGGTGTACTTTCGAAGTTATTTTTATGGTATCCATTTAACTTCACGGTTGACATTTTAAAAATATCTGTAAAAACTGCATTATTACATTGCTGCCACTACACATTTTTTAAATCATTATTAGTTTTTAACCGGTGAGGCCAACATGGTGGAAGTTTGACAATTCGCAACTGTAATGAACAAGCTTTATTTTTAGGCGCAACTTTGGCGTAAAATGTCGGAAAAATTGACTGACGTTAAGATTCCAAAACTACCCCCAATTCCTCAAAATACCAAAATCTCTAGATCCTCAAAATACTAAAATCATCAAAAATACTAAAATCCTCAAAAACACCAAAATCCCAATTTTTCAAAACACCAATAATAATGATAATAATTTATTCACGGAAACTTATCCTTTTACAATCACCAAAGTCCTCAATCTTCATAACACAAAATCCCCACATCCTCAAAACACCAAAAATCCCAAATCCTCAAAACACTAAAATCTTGAAATCCTGAAAAACACTAAAATCCCCAAATCCTCAAAAACGCCAAAATCCCCAAATCCTCAAAACACCAAAGTCCTGAAATCCTCAAAACACCAAAGTTCTGAAATCTTCGAAACACCAAAATCTACAAATCCCCAAAAAACACCAAAATCCTCAAATACTCAAAATACCAAAGTCCCCAAGTCTTCAAGACACCAAAATCCTCGAAAACACGAAAATGTCCAAATCTTCAAAACTCTCAAAATTTTCAAATCTTCAAAATTCAAGACACCAAAGTCCTCAAAAACACCAACATTCTCAAATCTTCAAAAACACCAACATTCTCAAATCTTCAAAAACAACAAAATCCTCAAATCTTCAAAACACCAAAATCCCCAAATCCTCAAAAACACCAAAATGCCCAAATCTTCAAGACACCCAAATTCTCAAATCCTCAAAACACCAAAAACCACAAATCCTCCAAAATCACCAAATCCTCGAAATTTCTAGAAATCGAAAATTCCTAAAACTGAAATATCGAATAATTGAAAATTCGAAAAAAATTTGTTTTAAAGTAAAATTAATTTCCTCACTAAAACACCAACATCCTCAATCCTCTAAACACCAAAATCTCCGAATCCTCCCTCAAAACACCAAAATCTCCAAATCCTTAAAACACCAAAATCCTCAAAACACTAAAATTCCAAAGTCTTCAAAACACCAAAATCCTGAAATCCTCAAAAACACCAAAATGCCCAAATCTTCAAGACACCAAAATTCTCAAATCCTCAAAAAACCAAAAACCACAAATCCTCCAAAATCACCAAATTCCCAAAACATCAAAATCCCCAAATCCTCGAAATTTCTAGAAATCGAAAATTCCTAAAACTGAAATATCGAATAATTGAGAATTCGCAAAAATTTTGTTTTAAAGTAAAATTAATTTCCGCACTAAAACACCAAAATCCTCAATCCTCAAAACACCAAAATCTCCAAATCCTCGAAACACCAAAATCCCCAAATCCTCGAAACACCAAAAACCACAAATCCCCCAATAATTGCCAGATCCTCAAAACACCAAAATCCCAACGTTTTCAAAACACCAAAATTCTTAAATCTTCACAAAAAAAAATCCCCAAGTCCTCAAGACACCTAAATCCTCAAAAAGACCAAATGCAAAAATCTTCAAAACACTTAAGTTCTCAAATCCTCAAATCACCAAAAACTACAAATCCTCCAAAATTTCCAGATCATCAAAACACCAAAATCCCAACGTTTTCAAAATCCTCAAAACACCAAAATCCTCAGTCCTCAAAACACCCAAATCCCCAAATACTCAAAACACCAAAATCCCCAAGTCCTCAAGACACCTAAATCCTCAAATCCTCAAAAACACCAAATGCCAAAATCCTCAAAACACCAAAATTTCCAAATCCTCGAAACACCAAAATCTCCAAATCCTTAAAACACCAAAATCCCCAAATACTCAAAACACCAAAAACCACAAATCCTCCAAAATTGCCAGATCCTCAGAACACCAAAATCCCAATGTTTTCAAAACACCAAAATTCTTAAATCTTCAAAAAAAAAAATCCCCAAGTCCTCAAGACACCTAAATCCTCAAAAAGACCAAATGCAAAAATCTTCAAAACACTAAAGTTCTCAAATCCTCAAATCACCAAAAACCACAAATCCTCCAAAATTTCCAAATCATCAAAACACCAAAATCCCAACGTTTTCAAAACACCAAAATCCTCAGTCCTCAAAACACCCAAATCCCCAAATACTCAAAACACCAAAATCCCCAAGTCCTCAAGACACCTAAATCCTCAAATCCTCAAAAACACCAAATGCCAAAATCTTCAAAACACCAAAATTCTCAAATCCTCAATCCTCAAAACACCAAAATTTCCAAATCCTCGAAACACCAAAATCTCCAAATCCTTAAAACACCAAAATCCCCAAATACTCAAAACACCAAAAACCACAAATCCTCCAAAATTGCCAGATCCTCAAAACACCAAAATCCCAACGTTTTCAAAACACCAAAATTCTTAAATCTTCAAAACACCAAAATTCTCAAATCCTCAAATCACCAAAAACCACAAATCCTCCAAAATCACCAAATTCCCAAAACATCAAAATCCCCAAATCCTCGAAATTTCTAGAAATCGAAATTTTCTAAAACTGAAAATCGAATAATTGAGAAATCGGAAAGAATTTAATTTTTGAAGTAAAATTAATTTCCTCACCAAAACACTAAAATCTCGAAATCCTCAAAATCTCCAAATTCCTAAAACGCCAAAATCCCCAGATACCCAAAACACTAAAATCCTCAAAACACCAAAAACCACAAATCCTCCAAAATCCTGAAATCCTCAAAATACCAAAATCCCCAAATCCTCAAAAACACCAAAATCTCCAAATCTACAAAACACCAGCATCCGCAATCTTCAAAACACCAAGTCCTGAAATCCACAAAACACCAAAATCTCCAAACCCTCAAAATACCAAAATTCTCAATCCTCAAAACACCAAAATCCTCAAATCTTCAAAACCAAAATCTACAAATACTCAAAATACCAAAGTTCCAAAGTCTTCAAGACACCAAGATTCTCAAATCCTCAAAAACACAAAAATGCCCAAATTTTCAAAACTCCAAAATTCTCAAATCCTCAAAATACCAAAGTTCTGAAATCCTCAAAATCCTCAAATCTTCAAAAACCAAAATCCTCAATCCTCAAAACATCAAAATTTTGAAATCCTCGAAACACCAGTCCTGAAATCCACAAAACACCAAAATTCGCGAGTCCTCAGAACACGAAAATCGTCCATCCTCAAAATACCAAAATCTCTAATACATACTTAAAACATCAAAATTCTTAAGTCGTGCAAACACCAGTCTTGAAATCCCCAAATCCTCAAAACACCAAAAACCGCAAATTCTCGAAAATCCCGAAATCCTCGAAACTTCTAGAAATCGAAAAATTTTTAAATTTTGAAAAGAAATTAATTCCCTCATCGAAACACCAAAATCCTCAATCCTCAAAACACCAAAATCTACAAATCCTCAAAACACCAAAATCTACAAATCCTCAAAACACCAAAATCCCCAAGTCGTCAAAACATCTAGAAATCGAAAATTCATAAAAATGAAATATCGAATAATGTTACTAGTAATAATAATAAGCCTTATTATGGTTAGATTTACAAAGAAATTTGCACCCGTGCCGTGTAATAATAGAGAACTCGAAAATTTTTGAAGTTCTGAAATAAAATTAACTTCCTACTTTGTTCGATCGCCCAGGTCGGCCAGCACAAGTACTCCAGCTACCCGGAGGACTTCTACGACAAGGCGGCTTCCGAACGCCACGCCTGCCAGAAGGCCCTCGACGACCTCATGACCAAGTACAGCAAGCGAAAATCCCTCCTCCTCTCCAGCAACGACGACATCATCGAGCGCATCCCGCCCATGCTCGAGAAGCACAACAACGCCGTGTGGATGTGGCAGATCGAGGCCGACTACATCGACATGTACAACGAGCAGCTCCCGGCCGACTGGCTCCAAGTGATCGACAACAACCCGCACGTCTCCATCGAGAAGTGCCTAGGAGGCTACGTCCTGAAGCACTGCAACCCGGACGACGTAAGCATCGAACGACGTTCGGTTTGCACCCACACCTGTCGTGTGGTTGCAAGCGAAACGTGGGGACGCCAGGGGCTTGGGCGGTGCTTGGGTGTTAACATGTCCAGATTGCGCTTGCTTACTAACTGTGCCTAATCGAGAATCGTTGAAAATCCCATAGGTTTTACAGAAAGGTAAGAAGTTGGAGATCAGTCTGAACGTCGGGGACGTGTCTGTACCGTGTAACACGGTCAACTTCGGGGAGAACAACCGTCTGTACGCGTTGATCACGGCGGCGCATTCGTGCTACGAGGTGTGGTGCCAACAGTGCGGCACGCCGGAATATGTGAGTATTCGACGGAGACTCGAGGGGAAGTGTTGGAATTTGGGTTTGCGTAGGAGCGCTTTTTGCGTTTGACCGAGAAGATGGAAGTGTTCTACAACAACCACCAGGGGGAGCTGGTGTCGCCTGTCATCACCTTAGGGAGTTGTTACGTCATTCAGCAGGACGGCGGCTGGATTAGAGCGAGGGCTTTGAGCTTGCCCCACGACGGTTTCGTGGATTGTTTTCTTATTGATTATGGAGAAGAGATTCATATCCCGATCGAGACTATGTACGTTATGAAGAGAGAATTTGCTTTGGAGCAAGCGCAAGCGTTTGTTTGCCGGCTGGCCGGCCTGGAAGAGGTGGGGGAAGCGAGTGCGGACTCCGAACATCTGACAGCGCTTGTAGGGAGGGAGTTCGTCGTGGAGATCATTCCAGAAGAATCATGTGAGGATAAGAGTGTGAAAGTAATCAAATTAGTGTTACGATTCTTTTGTAGCTAGCGACGAGATCGCCATCCCCGTCGTCGTGTACGACATCACCACCGGCGCCTCGATCAACGAAGAACTCATCTCCCTCCTCACGGTCGAATCGGCCGTTCCGGTCCTGGACAAAAGCGGCGTCACCGACGTCTACGTTTCAAACATAGAGTCGAACGGCGACGTCTACGTGCAGGTCCGTAATTTCGGCTATACGTGCCTAATGGATCTGCTCAAATCCATCAGCGACTCCATCATCAAGAACCCCCCTCTCGATCTCCTCATCCCGCGCCCCACCCCCGGAACCAGTCGCGACCGACTCTACTTAGTCAAGTGCAACGTCACGCAAAGGTGGCTGCGAGCCACCATCATCGACTGGTCCCCCAAGGGCGACCTCGCCCAGATCTACTTCCTCGATATCGGCAACACTCAAGTGGTCAGCGTCGCCAACGACAGAATGTACCCCCTGGACAAACTGAGCGAAGTACTGTGTCAGTACCCACCACAAGCCGTCAAGGTCAGGTTCATGATCGAGAAAATCCCAAGCGATTTCGTACAAAGGGCGGAGAAATTGCTACCTAGCGACGAACGGGTGCTGCTGAAGATCAGTAGTTACGACAACGAGAACGTGGCATGGGTGGAGTTCTTCAAACGAATGAGTGACGGCGTGCTGGTGTTCATTAATAAGTCGATTTCGGTGGAGGCGGAGCTACAAAGGTGAGTGGTGAGTTGTCAATGGACGGGAGGAGTTAGTGGGCGTGGATTAGTTTCAGTTCGGATGTTTGCGGCAGCAACGAAACGAGGAAGAGGTTGATGAATTTGGTGCAGTTTGGCGACGCTACGAGTGAGTATGAGGGTTTGTGTGATTAAGATTGAGGTGTGTGGTTTAGAAACTGTCCCGTCTGGAGGGTCTCTGAAGAAGCCAGATCTACCCAAGATGGGGGATTATTTCAACGTGAATATCCCGTTTGCGGTGAATCCGTGGAACTTTTTTGTAAGTTTAGCGTGTTGGGTTTATTTTTTTTTTAGTGTGGTTTGTGGTAGGTGCAACCTTTGGATTCTTTCAATGAACTCACGGCATTGATGGCCGATATGCAAGAATACTACAAGGATCTCCAGTTTAGTCCAGTTCCAATTGAAGATATAGTACCTGGTAAAATATATGCTTCTAAGCACGAGGACGGCAAGTGGTACAGGTTGGTAATTTCGCTTGAAAAGTCGTTTTTTAATTTTAATAAACGTGTTTGAGTAGGACCAGTGTACTCAAAGTGATCCATTCCGGTTCCATTAGCGTCTTCTACTGTGATTTTGGTTACTACACCAATTTGACTTTAGCTCAACTCGTTCCTTTAGATGCTAAATACATGAGTTTTCCATACCAGGCACTGAAAGCGAAGATAGCTGGTAATTGTACTTTGTGTCTTTGGAAATGCGCATAATCGTGTTTTCGGCTTGCAGGGATTAAACCAATTAAGAATAAGTGGACCATGGAAGACTGCGATATTTTCAATAGTTTAGTGACAAAAAAACAGTTTGTTTCTATTTTAGTTAATATTGAAAAGGACGAACTCTACAAAAGCGATATCGTCCTGCTGCTGTTGTTGATCGACACTTCGAGCGAGGAAGATATCAATATTAAAGAAGTTCTTATTGCAAGAGGCATAGCTACCAGCGTATAAATTTGTTTTTTTCGTTATTAGTTATTTATTTAGCGTTAGGCTTCATGTAAGAATTATTTTTCTATCTATGTTAAGTTTTTGAGAAAAGTCAAAATTCGTATATTACTGTAGTTGCCATAGTCGTAAAATTTATAAGAAGTTTTTATTGTTTGGAATACTGTTCACCAAAGAATTTCTTGTTGGTTTTTATAATGTATTGTTAAGGACTGAAGACATTGAGTGAGCTGCTATCCATTATTTCGTAATAAATTATTATTTTGTAAAGTCTCTTTCATGCTTTTTAGGTTATGAACAGCCATATTGAACGAAACGTCAAGTCAATTTTTTGAGGTTATGTTAAGATGGGGAATTTGGAGTACTCCGAAACATTTGCCCAAATTAGCTCCCCGAAAAATATTCACAATTGCAAACTTTGCCCCTATTTTACAAAATCATGTTTTCTTATGGTAAACCACATCAGGCGTCACCGCTCATCGATGACACTTTTTAACTGTGAAACTACCACAGTTGAAAATTATTATTGTAAGGACTGCAACGTTGAAACTGAGCTAACAATTACTTTCAAGCAACACATCAGCGACTGTCACTACAATAAAACAAAACTTGGAGAAAATGCGTCAGATGAGTTTATTGTTCAAAAATACAGCTGTGACCAGTGCAATTTTGACACACATTTTTTAGTGGAGTGGCTTAGACATCAACATACCAAACAAATTGTAGGGGGCTTAACAAATTCTCTTCAATATGTTGAAAATTCTGAACATTTGGACAATGATGTGCCAACTTGGTTTTGTACTGTGGTTTTGTTGTGCCAAGTGTCCATTCAAGCATACGCAACAAAATAAAAGTTCTCAAATTGTATAAGAAGCATAGAACGGATTACAACTTTAAGTTGTTCAAGTTTCATCGTCTACGGTGTAAAAAACTTATTAGTCTGTCTTACAAAAGATATATTCAGAAATTAGAGAATAATATTTCAAGTGAACCGAAATCCTTCTGGACATTTATTCAAAATAAAAAAAAGTGTACTCGAATACCAGGTGTGATGAATTTCAATGACTGCGAATTGTCTTCTCCTAAGGCCATTGTGGATGCTTTCGCTCAATATTTTGGCAGTGTATATATAAAACATGACTCACAGTACAATTTTAATAATTCTCTTGAGGTTGCACCGCAGCTATTTGTCTCTGCAAGCCATATGTCTCAAAATGATGTATTTCTTGTCTTGAAGAATTGTAAAGACACTTTTACTACAGGACCGGATTTGTTTTTTACTAAAGGATTGTGCAGGTGTCTTGGCTAGTCCTCTGTGTAAATTATTCAACTTTATCTTAAAACAAAATCAGATGCCTAAACAATGGAAAAAAGCATATGTATGCCCCATATTCAAATCAGGTGATATAACCAACATTACAAACTATAGACCGATTAGTCTTTTGAGTAATTTTGCGAAAGTATTTGAGACTTTGCTATACAAACAGCTTTTTTCGTCTTTAAAATGTTACATATCCCCGCAGCAGCATGGTTTCGTTGAGAAAAGGTCTACCATAACTAATTTAGCTTCCTTTTCACAATACGTTTCCGAATCTATCGATAGTAGAGGTCAAGTAGATACAATTTACACTGACTTTTGCAAGGCCTTTGATCAGATCGATCACTTTGTATTACTAGATAAGCTCTGTAGGTTTGGTTTTTCTGAATCCCTGTGTAAACTGTTTCGCTCCTATCTCACTGATCGGGAGCAAGTAGTTAGATATCAAAACTTTTTTTCAAAAACCATTATACCTACGTCTGGAGTACCACAAGGATCTAATCTAGGACCGCTGTTATTTCTGTTGTTCATTAACGATATTGTTGAAAATATTACTTGTGAAAAACTATTATTTGCCGACGATCTCAAATTATTTTTAGAAATTAATACTACAGATGATTACTTGAAACTGCAATATAACATCGATGTCGTGTTTGATTGGTGCAGTCAAAATCGGTTGTCACTTAATAAAGACAAATGCTTCGTCGTCTCATATACAAGAAAAGTGGAACCTTTACTCTTTGGCTATAATATCAACGGAACTGTATTAAAACGTAAAGAGAGTTCAAAAGATCTGGGTATAATCTTTGATATCAAATTTAGTTTTTCAGAACATATTAATAACATAACGAGAAAAGCTTATAAGATGTATGGCTTTTTATACAGAAACTGCAGTGATTTTTGTAACATAGAAACTTTAATTAATTTATACTATGTTTTAGTCAGGTCAGGTCTTGAATATGGGGCAATTATATGGTATCCGCAATACGACATATATATAAAAAACATAGAATCAGTACAACGTAAATTCCTAAAATTTTTATGTTTTCGATTAGATGGAGTTTACCCTGAACGAGGTTATGACCACTCTCAATTATTAAATCGGTTCAACTTTATTAGTTTACAAATTCGACGTAACCTCTTAATAGTGAAGTTTCTGTATAACTTAGTTAACAATAAAACTGATTGTCCGTTTTTGTTAAATAAGCTTAATTTTATTGTTCCCCGTATTAATTCAAGACAAAATTTAACGTTTTATACTTTTTCTTTCAAAACCAATATTTTACGTAGGTCTCCAGTTGTATTAATGTCAGAATCGTTTAACAAAATTTCATTGTTCTGCGACATTAATGCAGATTCATTTAATGTGATAAAACAGTCATTGTTGCGAGTTTAGGTTCATACATGTTTATTTTTCGTTTTTAACTTTTATCAAGTAGTAATTTGGTTATAATATTAGGATCCTATATATAGTTTGTTTAATTTATTTTTTTGTAAGCATATCTGCCACACTTTATTGCACAGAGTTAAGTTAATTTTTCCTGTAATTGGGTGATGTATTACCTGTTGGAAATAAATTTATTTATTTATTTATTTATTTATTTATTTATTTATTCAAGACTAAGCGAAAATATAATTTAATAACTCACATAAAACTGAAACATTTGGATGAAAAATGCATTAGTTGGTTTCACTGCAACAAGTGTTCATATAAAACTAAAACAAATGCGTGTTTGAAACGTCACATCGTCGTCCGGCATACGGATGAAGAGGATATTAAATGGTATAAATGCGACTGGTGTTCATATAAAGCTAAACAAAATGTCCACTTAAAAGAGCACGTAAATGCGCACCAAATGGACAACTTGTTAAATGGTATGAGTGTAGAAAGTGTTCGTATAAATGTAAATATAAAAACAATTTAAAAAAGCACATGAATTCCCAGCATGAACAAAATATGAAATGGTATGAGTGCCATAATTGTCCATACAGAGCTAAGTCAAAGTCGAATTTGAAAAATCACGTAAGTGCGCGCCATTTAGAGGAAGAAAATATTAAGTGGTTTAATTGTAACCAGTGTCCATATAAAACTAAACGAAATTTCGACTTAAAAAGACATACAAGTGCGTGCCATTTAAACTAGGACGAAGATATAAATGTGAAGACTGATTGGAGAACAAATAAGTGTAGTATTATTGTTATTGTAGAGTGATTTTTAAATGTTGTTTTAGTATAATGTGTTGCATAACCTTGTGGTAACTTTATTGTTTGACATTTGTGACAAGCGTGTTTGAGGTTAGGTTCTAACGATGGATTTTTGTTGTGAGCTGAAAATTTTGAGAATCAGCCCTCTTTTGAGGCAGAAATTGAATAAAATGTCTAACTTTGTTGTTAAAGAACAATAAAAAAACTTTCGCATCACAGAAGTCGAAAGAGTGACAACAGACCAAAAATTTATTAAAACAATCAAACATTTTCAAAATACAAAAAATATACATCTGCCAGGGGGCACGCCAACTTCAATCAAAATACGGCCCTTTTCTTCTCCGTAAATGTACCGTAGCGACATGTTTCTGCAACAACTTCTTCAACTTTCCCCTATATGGACACTCCTCACACTGATACCACTGAATTTCACTTTCGCTCAAATGTTTCATAATAACGTGGTCTTTCAAACACCTCGACTGTTTCGCTTTGTACGGACACTGCTCGCACTCATACAACTTAATATCTTTCTGATCCAAGTGAAACTGGCGCACGTGGACATTCAACCGAGTCTTCAATTTACTCTTAAATGGACATTCCTCACACTGATACCACTCCGCTTCACTTTCACTCAAATGTTTATTATTCAAATGCACCTGCAACGCGTATTTGTGTTTAGTTTTGTGTGCACACTTATCACAATAAAACCATCTAATTTCATCATCACTTGAATGCTTATTTCTTACGTGGCTCTTTAAGACTTTGGCCGATTTCGTCCGATAAGCACAGTGCTCGCACTTCTGCCACGTGATGTCCTTCTCTTCGGGATGCACCACCTTCGTGTGGAGCTTCAACGTGCTTTTAAACTTGGATTTGTACGAACATTTGTCACAGTGGTGCCACTCGATTTCGTTGTCACTGATATGTTTGCTGGTTAAGTGTCTTTGGAAATTCGACGATTTGCGAGTTTGATATGGACATTGGTCGCACGTGTAGATCTTGTTAGGGCCTAAATGGGGATTGTGGGTGACGTGTTTGCTAGTACTGTGTCTGCGAAAGTTTCCTATTCGGCAAGTTTTGTAAGGGCAGAGGTCACAAACGTACAGTTTTATGTTCGTTCCGACTAGATGTGTGGCCTTTTTGTGCCAGGTTAGGGATGCTTGGAATTTGGATTTGTAAGGGCACAGTTTGCATTCGTACCACTTGACTTTTTCGTCTTCTATGTGGTTGGCGTGCTCGTGGCGACGCAGGTTTTTCTTGAAACGGCCCTTATAAGGGCACTTGTCGCACTGATACCACGTTAATTCGTCGTCTTTTAAGTGCTTCGAGATTATGTGACCTTTGACGTTACACACGTTTTTGGATTTGTAGTCGCAGTGGGTGCATTTGTGCCAGCGGCGGTTCCTGGGTCTGTCTTCAAGTATTTTTCGGTTGTCTTTACTGTGAAGGCACTCTGTCGAGTGGTGAAGTCTTTTGATGCAGGAGTGGGTTTCAAAGTCGCACTTTTTACAAATATAACTGGGGACACTAATATCAACATGATATTCTTTTTTAACGCCGTGACGGTCATCAATGTGTTGTTTCAGAAGTACGGTTAGATCTGTTTGGAAGTCGCAATTTTTGCACGAATATTTTTCCAGGTGGCTGTTTTCGCAGTTGAATGGTCCTGCCGACAGAAAAAAGTTCGTTGTTTTGAGGTATGGGTGAATTTTACCATCAAGGGTATAGCTTGAGGGGTTCATTTGAACTCTTTCGACTTTCCTGGGAATTTTACCAAAACGGTGGTGTGTTTGACTGATGAAAAATGGAATTTTAAGTGTTTATTTTCTTTTTACACTTTTCTTTAATTGTATTATCGACATTATAATACCACATTTAATGCTAACAGTATTATAATGTCAATGTTTAATGGGTGTACTTAACCTCAAACGTCAAAATCAGAGTACGTTCATAATGACAGTTGTGTTTTGTGTGTTGCCTATCTACAAGCATTAATCAATAATTTATTCAAATATCAATTTACAGTTCGTTTTTCTAACAAAAATAATCAATTGTGATGCTCTTAGGTCACTTTACTTCTGCGTAAATGAACGGTAGCTACATGTTTACTCAACAACTTCTTCAATTTCCCTCTGTATGGACACTCCTCACACTGATACCACTGCACTTCACTTTCCCTCACGTGCTTCATAATAACGTGATCTTTCACACATTTCGCTTGTTTTGCTTTATACGAACACTGGTCACACTCATACAACTTGATATCTTTTTTATCCAAGAAGTGCACCTCACGTATGTGCACTTTTAACCGGCTCTTCTGTTTACTTTTATACGAACACTCTTCACACTGAAACCACTCGACTTCACTTTCACTCAAATGCTTGTTACTGATATGCAGCTGCAAAGCGCTTCTGTGCTTAGTTTTATGGGGGCACTTTTCACAATAATACCACCGAATTCCTCCATCACTCAAATGCTTATTCTGCACGTGCATTTTCAGGTTTTTTGCAAACTTGGTTTGGAAGCCGCATTGCTCGCATTTCTCCCATTTGATGCTGCTTTCGTCTGGATGTACCATCTTCATGTGGATGTTCAAGTTGCTTTTGAATTTCGACTTGTAGGTGCATTTTTCACATTGGTGCCACTGGATTTCGCTGTCGTTGACGTGTTTACTAGTGATGTGTCTCCGGAAATTTCCTCTCCTGCACGTTTTATAGGGACAGTGGTCGCAAACGTACAGTTTAATATTGGTTCCGATGAGATGTGTGGCTTTTTTGTGCCAATTCAACGGTCCTTGGAATTTAGATTTGTATGGACACAGTTTACATTCATACCATTGCACTTTTTCGTCTTCAGTGTGTTTGGCGTGGTCGTGCCGGCGCAGGTGCTTCTTGAACAGGGTTTTATAGGGGCACTTGTCACAATAAAACCAACTTAATTCGTCTTCTTTAAGGTGTTTGGAAATTATGTGCGCTTTTAAGTGACTTGCGTTTGTGGACTGGTAATCACATTGGTCACATTTGTGCCAGCGGGGATTTTTTGGTTTCTTTTTTTTGCGATGAGGCTGGATTTTATGAATTTTGACTGTTTTTAATACGTGTGGACTGAGCTTTTCGGAACTGTGTTTACTTTCAAGGCACTCCGTCGAATGTTGCAGTCTTTTTATGCACGAGTGGGTTGCAAAGTTGCATTTTTTGCAAATATAATTTTGAATGTTGTAACTGTAACGCAAAGGGGTGAAATCGGTTTCTTTTTTAATACCATGGTAGTCTTCGACGTGTCTTTTGAAAAATATGAGTAGATCAGCTTGGAAGGTGCACTTCTTGCAGGAGTAGTTGTCTATGTAGCTGTTTTCACAGTTAAAGGGAACCGATGGAATAAAGCCTGGGGTCGAGACGTCTGAACAAATATTGCCATTTTGGTATTTAGCCCACGATTTCATCCAGACGATAGTCTCTGACTAGTCCTAAGATGTTTTAATTAAATAAGTAAGTTTTTAGTAACGCTGAAGATACATAACCTCAAACGTCAAAATCGGACGTCATAGGGTACGTTCGTGAATACTTCTGTCCATATGTCAAAATAATAACTAATTTACTTTGAAAAAGTGAAGGGACTGCCCTTATTTGTTGACAGTGTCAAAAAGATAAAAAACTAATCGGAATATAATAATATTTCGATAAACATCCAAACGATTATATACGGGTTTAGAAAAAATATAGCACAGTATTACTGGTTGCCTATAGCTGCGCAATTTAGATTTAAATAAATTAACTAAATAATTTCGTACGTTTGCACTTTATTATAAATAAAACTGTGTTAGTATAAATATTATTTTACTTTTTTGGGTAAATGCACGGACTGCATATGATCATTCAACCTCCTTTTCAGCTTCCCCCTAAAAGGACACTTCTCACACTGAAACCACTCAATTTCACTCTCGTCTAAATGGTTAGTAATCACATGCTCTTTCAAAGTAATCGATTTTTTCGCCCTATATGGACACTGATCACATACATGCCATTTAATATCCTTCGCCTCTATGTGTAAAGTCTTAATGTGCAAGATTAGCGAGCTCCTAATCTTAGTTTTATGTGGACACTTCTCACACTGATACCACACAACTTCACTATCACTCAAATGTTTGTTATTCATGTGATTCTTCAAACTCTTTGGATATTTAGTTTTAAACAAACACTGTTCACATTCGTACCACGTAATATCCTTCTCGTCTGAGTGAATCGCTCTTACGTGTTTCTTCAAATACCCTCTTTGTGTAGCTCTATATGGACAATGTTCACATTGATGCCAATGGATGCTACTGTCGTCCATATGTGCAGTGTATGCGTGGTTGCGCAAGCTTACTTTATATTTAGCTTTGTACGGGCATTTTTCACATTGATACCACTGGATTTCGTTTTCGTTTCCGTGTTTGTAAATTATATGTTGCCCCAAGTGCGTTTTTCTGGTCGTTCTGTATAAACACTGATCACATTCATACCACTTCGCATTTTTCCCCATCAAATGTATAGTCTTTTCGTGGCGTTTTAAATACGATTTTAGTTTAGCTTTGTATGGGCATTTTTTGCACTTGTGCCATTTGATGCTGCTTTCGTCCATATGGGCGGCGTTTATGTGGCTGCGCAAGCTTGATTTATATTTAGCTTTGTATGGGCATTTTCCGCATTGGTACCATCGAATTTCATGGTCTTTTAAATGTTTCGAAATGTTGTGGACTTTTAAGGCGCTTTTGTATTTAGTTTTGTAGCCACATTGGTCACATTCGTACCATTCACAGCCATCCTGGGTGTGGTTTGTTTGTGAGTTAGTTGTTTTTGCGGGACAACAAGAGGTGTGTTGAAGCCATTTCATCGAAAAGTACGTGGCAAAGTTGCACTCGTTGCAAACATAATTTTGAACTGTGTATTCCAAAGTTGCGTTTTTGGGGCTTCTGGTTTTAATTCTACGGTGACTTTTGGCGTGTTCGTTGAAGAGTATTGTTAAATTCGATTGGAAATCACAGTCCTTGCAGTAGTAGTTTTCAATGCTGTTTTTGCAGTTGAAAGGTAAAGTTGAGGTGTGGGTTCGGACGTGGCTGACCCAATGAGAAACTGAAGGTGTGAAATAGGGGCAAATGTGGCAGTAATGTGTAGTGTCGGAGAAAGGTTTCATTAAGGCAAATTCCAAAATTGACATTTTTGTAACCTAAAATTTTAGCGGTTTAATATATCTTAGAGGCTGCCTTTGTGATATTATTGCCTGGAAAATTGTTTAATTTCTTTAAAATGGCTAAAAAATATTGTTTATGAAGGGTTAGTTACAAACATAACCTCAAAAGTGCGTTGACATTTGGGTGGGTAATTGACATTTGACGTATGATTGAAGAGTACGTTCACTAACATTTAATAATAAAATATATTTACAATATACAACAAATTCAGACTAATAATTTTGCATGCCTGTGCATTACATGTTTCTTCACACTTCGCGGATGTTTTGTTTTAAAGGAACACAACTCACACTTGTACCACTTAACATCCTTCCCATCTAAATGAAAAGCATTTACGTGCTCTTTTAACGACGCTTTAATCTTACTTCTGTAGGGACACCTTTCACACTGAAACCACGTAACTTCGTCTTCATTTTTATGCCTATTAATCACATGTTTTCTTAAATTTTGAGGTAATTTGGTTTCAAAAGAGCACTGTTCACATTTGTATAAGTCAACATTTTTACTACAGTGGGCAAACTTCCAGTGCCACCTCAACGTGTTTTTTGTTTTGGCTTTGTACACACATTTGTCGCAGTGGAACCAGCGAACTTCATTTTCGCCCAGATGTTTATTATTTACGTGATTTTTCAAATTGCTTGAGTACTTTGTTCTAAAAGGGCATTGCTCACAGTTGTACCACCTAACGTTTTTGTCATCCAAGTGGACCGTATTTATGTGTTTTCTCAACGAGTGCTTGAACTTGCCTTTATAGGAGCACTTGTCGCAGTGATGCCAGGCGATTTCGTTTTCGTTTCGGTGTTGGCTGTGGGTGTGTTTTCTTAAATTTTGGGGAGATTTGGTTTTAAATGAACAATACTGGCAACAATGCCAGGTTATATTCGTTTCATTTGTATGCAGACAGTAGACATGTCTCTGTAAGTAAGATCTGAATTTGGCTTTATACGGACAATGCTCACAGCGATGCCACTGCACTTCGTCGTCTTTCAAGTGCTTCGTGATAATGTGCCGCCTCAAAGTACGTCTGGAGTTTGTTTCAAAGTCACAAAAAGAACATATATGCTGTCTTTCATTTTCCTCATCTATGGTATAAGATTTGGTGTGCTGAAGCCACTTTATTAAAGAATGTGTTTCAAGGCTGCACTTCTTACAAATATAATTTCTAAAGCGTAATTGTGTCCAGCTTTCTGTTTTAATACCATGGTATTCCTGTCGGTGTTCTTTCAAGGTTATCAGTAAATTTGTTTGGAAATTACACTTCGTACAAAAATAATTTTCGACAATGTTTGTGCAACTGAAAAATGTGGACAGTGATTTGTGACTATTGATATGATCTGCAAAGGGAAAAACTGAAGTGAAGATAAACTAGAGACTCCAGGAGTGTCATTTTGATTTACCTGAATTTTCAATTATAGACATTATTTTCTTTGGGTTTTTGCTCCGTATTTAAGTGCTTGAAAATACGTTAACATATAAACAAAAATTCTTATAAACATAACCTTGTTGGAAAATATATTAGAGTACTTTCATTGACGTTTTTAAGGTTATGCAACTGTGTCTAGGAGTATTATGTGTTGCCTACGTCCCCGAAGGTGATTGTGAGGTTATGTTCACAGTTTTTAATATTTTTAAAAATTTATCTTTTGCTCTTAAAAACGGGGTAAGAGAAGTCGTAAACGCACTCTAATTTTATTGAAAATAATAAATAATACAAATCCAGGTAAACCAAAATGTTAGTATTGTGATTCAATTGCGTGTACAGTTGGTTGCATATACGTACTTATTCACTAATAAACTTATAAATTAACATTAATATTAGTCATATCGCTTCCTCCAAATGATACGCACTAACGTGACTTCTCAGCCAAAAAAATTTACTTCTGCATGGGCACTTCATACCATTTAACATCACTTTCATTCAAGTGATTTGTGTTTATATGCTTTTGTAACTGAACCTTCTGTTTACCTTTATAAGGACACATTTCACATTCGTACCACTTAACATCTCGTGCATCTACATGGTGCGTATTTATGTGCACATTCAAGTTTGATTTCTTCTTACATTTGTAAGGACACTTTTTGCATTCATACCATTTAATATTCTCCTCATCCAAATGACGGAAATTTATATGGGACTTCAAATTACACATCTGTTTAGCTTTAAACGGACATCTTCTGCATTCGTACCATTTCACATCATTTTCGTCCAAATGAATCGCATTTATGTGAATTTTCAATCCAGAATTACTTTTGCTTTTATACGGGCACTTTTTGCATTTGTGCCATTTAACATCATTTTCGTTCAAATGGTGAGTTTTAATGTGTTGGTGTAACAAAGATTTTTGTTTACCTTTGTATGGGCACTTTGTGCATTCGTACCATTTAATGTCTTGTTCATCCAAATGGTGCGCATTTATGTGCACATATAAATTCGATTTGCATTTGCTTTTATATGGGCACTTCTGGCATTCGTGCCATTTAATGTCATCTTCGTCCAAATGACGCGCGTTTATGTGTGCTTTCAAATTACACAGTTGTTTAGCTTTGTATGAACACTTTTGGCATTTGTACCATTTAATGTCTTGTTCATTTAAATGGTGGGCGGTTATGTGACGTTTTAATTTATCTTTTTGTACTGCTTTGTACGAACACTTATCACACTTGTACCATTTCACGTCCTTACCACCCGAGTGGTGTAAATTTACGTGTCTGTTCAACGATATTTTTTGTTTCGAGGTGTACGAACATTGTGTGCATTTAAATCTACAATCTTGTTCGTCAAAATGGCGAATGCGTAGATGACGGTTATAGACATCTTTGAATTCAGTTTTATATTCACATAGACTGCATTCATGCCATTTAAGACTCTTCCTGTTTAAATGGTGTTTAAGTCGGTGAGTTTTTAAATTAGATTTATGTTTAGCTTTGTACGGACATTTGGGACAGTGATACCACACTATGTCTCCGTCGTTCATGTGTTTCGAGATTCTGTGTCTTTCTAACGCGTGTTTATATTTTGATTTGTATTTGCAGTGGTCACATTTATACCACCTGGGAGCTTTCGTGTCAGATTTACAACATTGTGCAGTGTGCTGAAGCCACTTAAATATAAAGTGTGTTTCAAAACTGCACTTTTCACAAACATAGCTCTGGATTGAGTAGTCCTCATTTGAAAGATCGTCCGTTTTGGTGCTTTGACAGATTTCGATGTGTCGTTTGAACAAAAGGGTGAGTTCTGTTCGAAAGTCACAGTTCTTGCAAGAAAAAGCGTCTATGTTGCTGTTTTCACAGTTGAAGGGGTGCAGACGCAAAGGGTGACACTTCGTCAGGGGGTGTACATTTTCAGTACAGTTTCCATCTAGATTGGACATTTTGGTGACCTACGTTATTAATTTTTTAGCACATTATGAAGGAAGTTTTTTACTTTCGCTACCTACCGTAAAATTCTCGAAAATTGTTTATAAATAATATTCAAACATAACCTCAGAAGTTGCACTTACGCGTTGACAGTTTAGTGACATTTGACGTTTGAGGGTACGTTCACAAACACTACTGATATGTTTTAGGATATTTTTTTGTATGATTTTTTATTCAATTATTATTATTCTTAATTTTAAAAGAACTTTATATTTTTAATTTCGCCGTTACGTTGCCGTTCACGGTGGGTTTTCAACCAATCAAATTGCGGTGTATATAACACGGTTACTTAAGAACATATTTCACATGGTAATTTCTTGTAGAAAAAACAAGAATTTTACAATTAAGCTCCGCCCCTCGGGTTACGATGAATAAAAAAAATCATCAGAATTGAGATAGGGTGGGTGGGCGGGGCTTATATTTTGCCTTTTTTTTCTTAATATACATAGCCATCTTTTCACAACAAAAAACTTACAACAAGATTAAAATGGTACATTTTTCCACGGAAATATGGATTTTCCAATTATGGAGCGGAGCCTAATTGGAAAATCGATATCTCCTTATACAAATTTTCCATTTGAAAGATGTTTTAAGTTTCATGTTGTGCAAAGAAGTGTACACATATTAAAACAAAAAGGCAAAATGGAAGCCCGCCCACCCGCCATATCTCAATTGGGATGATTTTTTTTTATTTGCCGTGAACCAAGGGGGCGGAGCTTAATTGCAAAATAACGAGCGACCAAATAAAAAACACCTCTAGTTCTAGATACTCAAATGTTTTCTAAACGCATGGCGATTTGAGGTTATATCAATAATTCGAATAGTGACAGATAGTATACAGATGAGAGTAATGATAGAAGTCACAGATAGAAGTGACAGAACGAGTTTGACACTGACAAATGTGCAATGTACGATGTTAGCTACGCCATATGTTCAAAAAACATTTGCGCATCGAGTAGAAACTAGAGGTATTTTAATTTTGATCGCACGTTACTTATTTTTTTACAACAAATTAAAAACATGTTTTTGAGTATCGTATTGTTCAAAGAATACTATGTATATTAAAAAAAAGGCAAAATATAAACCCCTCCCACCCACCCCAGCTCAATTGTGATGATTTTTTTTATTCTTAGAAACTTGAAACACGTTTAAAATTGTACATTTTTGTGAAGAAATATGGATTTTGCAATTTAGCTCAAACCCTAGGTCTGCCGACGAATGAAAACTTCATTACTATTTAAATCAGGGCAGGTGAATAACACGATACTCAAAAACATGTTTTTAATTTCTCGTAGAGAAAGAAGGATTTTGTGGTTAAGCTCCGCCCCCTTGACTCATGACGAATAAAAAAATCATCACAATTGAGATAGGGTGGGTGGGCGGGGCTACATTTTGCCTTTTTTTTCTTAATATATGTAGACTTATTTTCACAGATAATACTTTTGTCAATAATATGTTCCATAACCCAGCAGAGCCGTTAATTTATCTTACTTTTGTATTGTCTTTGTGTGTCTGGTGTCAGCGTCTCTTGTTTTTTGTTTTTTAAAGTTATTATTATTTATTTTGCCACTTCGTATTTATTACTATTAAGAATTTTGTTTAATAAAGTCTTCGGAGCATTTATTATTTTAAGGGCCTTTTATGATAAGTCAGTTACGCCACTGGCACCACTCTTTATTATACAATAAGGTTATGTTTATACCAATATTTGAACACATATAGACCTATGATATAGACGTATTTTCAAGCACTTGAACCTCCTCACTTAAGTTACGGAGCAAAATTCCAAAGAAAATAATCTACTAAAAAAATTGGAAAATCAAGTGAACCAAAATGGCACCCCTGGAGCCTTCAGTGAAACACTCGGAAGAGTTTATTTTCACTTTGATTTTTTTCTTTGCATTATTATTGGTAGAAGTGCGATTTCCAAACTAATTTATTGATAATCTTGAAGGAACACAAACAAAAATATCATGGTATTAAAACAGAAAGCTGGACAAAATTGTGAATTATGTTCCTTTGAAAAAAAAAAACATGTAATGCAGAGACACCCAAAATTATTGCATTGATGAATTTTTTATGTAATGTAAATGAAATCGATAATATGTATTTTTGATATTCAGTGTTTATAATTCTGAACGTACTCTGATTCGTGGGTGTTAAAGACACCGACATTATCAATGTCGATGAACCGACGTAGCATTAATTAGTGAGGTTATGTTCGTTGTCTTGTGGACACTTTTAGATGCAATTTTGTAACTATTAAAGCTTCTGACAATCTCCTCCTCTTAGGTACGAAAAAACAAACACTTGTTTTATTATGTAACACAAGATTACCTACTTAGATAAACCAAAATGGCGACTGTCGACTATCCAAGGAACTTCACTCGAATCACCCCTTTCATCTGTGAAAACATCACCATTGAAAATTATTTCTGTATGGACTGTGGCTTCCAAACAGACCTAACCATACTCTTGAAAGAGCACATCGAACGTTACCACGCCATCAAACTAGAAAACCCGCAAGACCTCGACAAGAAATACCGCAGCCGAATTTACCTGTGCGGAAAATGCAGCTTCGCCACCTACTTCGCCTTAAAGTGGGTTCAGCACTCCTTATCGTGCCCCAAAGACGACAATCCATACTTGACCCACAAAACCAAAGTCCGCTTTGAGAAAGTTCGAACAAAAGGCAAACGAGACGGTTGCACCTGGTACAAGTGCAACCTATGCGACTACAAAGCCAAGTACAAGCGCTCCATAAAAACCCACACGATCTCGAAACACTTAAAAGACGACGAAATCCAGTGGTACCACTGCCAGATGTGTTCCTACAAATGTAAATTTAAATTCGCGCTACGAAAACACCTAAACGTGCAGCACCTCGACGAAAACAGTATTAAGTGGCACAAATGCGCCCACTGCCCCTTCAAAACCAAAACGGCGCACAATTTGAAAATCCACGTCCACCGGAAGCACACGAACGAAAACGAAATCAACTGGTACCCGTGCGACCTGTGCTCGTACAAAGCCAAATTCAAACGGGCCTTGAAGGTCCACATAAGTTCGGTCCACGTGGACGAGAAAGACATCAAGTGGTACGACTGTGACCAGTGTTCGTTCCGAACCAAAATCACGCATATTTTGAAGAGACATATATACAACAAGCACCAAAACGAGGACGAAATCGAGTGGTACCCATGTGAGCAGTGTCCGTTCAAAACGAAGAACAAAGAGTGGCTGAAAGCGCACGTGAACACTCACCACTTGAACGACGAAGATAGCAAGTGGTTCGAATGTGACCGATGTTCGTTTAAGACCAAGTATCGGACGAGTATGAAGAATCACGTGTTGAGGAAGCACGCGAGCGATAATGAGGTTGAGTGGTTTTGCTGTGAACAATGTGGCTACAGAACTAAGATTAAGAGCTCGTTTGAGTGGCACGTGAAGTCGACTCATGGGGAGGAGTGGCATGAATGTGAGCAGTGCTCGTACAAAACGAGAAATGCGTATTCGATGAAGGATCACATAATTAATAAACATTTGACCGAAAACGAGATTAAGTGGTATCAATGCGAAAAGTGTCCGTTTAGGGCGAAGCTGAAGCGGCACTTGAACCAGCATTTAAACGCCGTGCATTTTAATAAGTGGTATACTTGTGATTATTGTTCGCTTAAAACAATATATGTAAACAATTTAAAGAAACATATAAAGGACAAACATTCGTGCGATGTGGAGGCAGCGATGAAGTCGGAATGAGGGGATTTGCTAAACTTAAGTAATGTTTAATTACAAAAATAGAACAAATTAGACATGCAACTACTGCAAAAGGAGAGAGAAGTATACAACATAGCTAATATGTATGTAATGTTATAGCACCTTAAGTATGTATGAGTATGTACCACAATATAATATTTTTTGTTCAGTGTGTTTTTCTTCAACAAAATGTATAAACCCTGTGATACTGTCAAACAGAAAAAAATCTGTGTAGCATTAATCAAAATTAGTAAAAGCGTATATGCAACCAACCATACAGATAATTCAACGACACGTGAAAGCAATCTATGAACGGACGACAGATTGACATGTACACATGCGCATTGCGAAAAAATCGAAACTACAAACAATTAATAATTTATCATTCAAATTACAATTAAATTATGTCAAAAATTAAACATTTGATAATCAGTGAGTGATCTCCTTTCTACTCATTTTTTTTCCTTGGAATGTACAACACCGTAATGTTCCTTTACGCTTTTTACTGAAAGTGCACTCTCCACATTGGTACCACTTCATCTGACCTCCACTTATATGATTCAAAGTGATGTGTTTTCTAAACGCATAAGGATTACTAGTTGTATACATACACTCTTCACACTTATAGCACACGTCATGCAAATGAACATCTTCCATGTGTATCTGCAAAGAACTCCATTCGTTGCTTTTGAAGGTACAATTTTTACATTGATACCACTCTCTCTGAGCATCATTTGAGTGTGTGGAAAAGACGTGGTTTCTCAAAGCAGTTGCATATTTTGCCCTGTACGCACATTGTTCACATTTATACCAATCGACTTTTCTTTCTGGATGCATTTCTTTCATATGCTTCTGTAAGCCACCCAATGATGAAAGCTTCTGCATACATTCTCCGCATTGGTACCACTTAACTTTCTTATGTACTTTGTGTTCCTTATTCACGTGATTCCGTAGGGCCTCCATATTTTCTAAAACACACGAACACTCGCCACATTTAACCTGCTTGATAATTTCTTCAACCTGGCTGGTAATTTTTTTAACCTCGCTTTTAGTGGGAAGCACTTCCACTTCCGTTTCGCTGGAGTTTTTACTGTAGTTGTGTTCCCATTTGTGCCTCAGTTCTGGATTTTTATGTTCGACACATTCGTGAGTTATTAGGGATTTTTTGTTGTCTTTTATTGTTGACCTGAGCACATACTGTTTACAATGGTAATAGTCACACTTTGAGTTTTTTGTTTTGGCTGCATTTTCTTTCCAAGACGTGTGTTGAAGCCAATTCATCAAAAAATGAGTCCCAAGGCCGCACTTTTCACAAACGTAACGAACGATGACGCTTTTCGTTGATAGGTCTGTTTTATCCGAGTGATACTTTTCTCTGTGTTGTTTCAAAAGTAGGGTTAAATGGGTTTCAAAATCACAGTCCTTGCAATGATAATTTTCAATTGTGCTATTTTCGCAGTTGAAGTAGGTGGAAGATGAGCCATGGTCTTTGATGTGGTTTGCAAAGAAGAGACGTGATGTTGTATAAAATGGACAAATGTTGCAGTAGTGGAGATGACTGGAGAAAGACTTCTTGTCCCCTGAGTCTTGTGTTCTTAACATGGCTCACCTAAATTAGTTAATTTTTGTAGTTATATATCGTTAAAAAAATGCTTAGTCGTTTCTTACCTGATTTATACTCAAAAATGCTATTCAACAAACATAACCTCAAAAATTGACGCCAGGTGGTAGGCAACACAACATACACATTAATATATAATATTCGACTTTTTATTAATTTTAATAGCTGTTACACAGATGATAAGGAACACTTGCTGCTTTTGAAAATGTACATATTTACAATGATTTACTGATAATGACACCTGTACCATTTACAAAGTGTTTGCTGTTTCTTTAAAAAAAATTTTGTATTTGTCTGGCGATCACAGTTCTGGATATACTGTGGTTCTGGAAATGGACCGCCAGTTCAAAACGTTTGAATGAAGACCCATGACTTCCAATATGGTTCTTCAGAAATAAAATTGACGGGTAAAGTATGGGCAAATGTTACAGTAGTGCAGGTTGTTTGAAAAATATCCCTTGCAGAAGCTTTGAATATTCCAGGATCGACGTCATTTACCTAAAATGGGTCATATTATTTGTAAGCAAATTTTCTGAATATTTTTAAATCCGTCTCTCACAGTTCTATGTGTTTTGTTTCAGAATTTTGAAATTCGTGTTCGACATAACGTCAAAAACACAACTGTGTGTCCACAGAATACTCTCACTTGTAATTTATTAAGATCGATATAAAACTTGCCAGCAGTTGACAGCACGAAAATCAAATTTTGATAGAGATAATGAGGTCCACTAATATTAAGTCATTTAATCACCTGTTCACCGAAATCTTCATAAGTTTAAATTAACAAGATTTGCTATTCGTCTCAAAAACAAATTAGGTGTTACAATTACAAGGGCTTACATTTTGCCCTTTTTTCTTAATATGTGTAGTTTTCTTTTCACACCAACAAAGGTAAAACATGTTTAGAATGGTAAAATTTTGTAGGAAAGTATTGATTTTGTAATTAGGTTCCGTCCTCTTGGCTCACGACGAATAAAAAAATCATCACAATTGAGATAGGGCGGTTGGGCGGGGCTTACATTTTGCCATTTTTTCTTAATATGTGAAGTCATCTTTTCACAACAAGAAACTTAAAACATGTTTAAAATGGTAACTTTGTATAGGGAAATATCGATTTTGCAATTACGCTCCGCCTCTCGATCTGACAACGAATGAAAAATTCATCACGATTGAGATCAAGGCGGATGGGTGGAGCTTCTCTTTGGGTTTTCTTTTTTAATTAATACATTTAGTTTTCTTTGTATAACACGATTACTTGAGAACATATTTCACACGGTAATTTCTCGTAGAAAAATAAGGATTTTACAATTAAGCTCCGCCCCTCGGCTAACGACACATAAAAAAAATCATAAGAATCATAAGATAGGGCGGGTGGGCGGGGCTTATATCTTGCCTTTTTTTCTTAATATACATAGCCATAGCTTTTCACAACAAGAAACTCAGCGCATGGTCAAAATGGGACATTTTTGCAAGGAAATTTGGATTTTGCAATTATGGGGTGGAGCCTAATTTTCCATTTTAAACATGTTTTAAGTTTCATGTTGTGAAAAAAAATCTACACATATTAAAAGAAAACGGCAAAATGTAAGCCCGCCCACCCGCTCATCTTAATTGTGATGATTTTTTTTATTGGTCGTGAACCAAAGGGGCGGAGTTTAACTGCAAAGTACTTATTTCTTTACAAGAAATGAACATGTTTTTGAGGATCGTGTTCAAAGAATACTATGTATATTAAGAAAAAAAAAACAAAAAACAAAATGTAGACCCCGCCCACCCACCCCATCAAAATTGTGATATACATTTATAATCTGTTACCCTCTTTTACCCATTGGGTGTCGAGGTGATCTGAGCTTCTGGGGTTTCACACACGTATTGTCTTTGCCATTTCTATTGAAACACCACCTGTTGATTTTGATGACAGCTTTCGGTTGATTGACAACGGCTTTTAATTCGAAAATTGTCTGAATATGAACGTTGCCAAATTTACAATTAACAGGTAGTGTTTCAATAGAAATGGCAAAGATAATATCATAATCTCAATTGTGATGATTTTTTTGTTCTTAGAAACTTGAAATACGTTCAAAATGGTATATTTTTGTAAGGAAATATGGATTTTGCAATTTGGCTCCGCCCCTAGGTCTACCAACGAATGAAAACTTCTTTACTATTTAGATCAGGGCATGGTACAACAAGAACGGCAGGTATGGGTGGGGCTTACTCTATGGCTTTAATTTTTTTTTAGTATACATAGTATTCTTTGAATAACATGATACTCAAAAACATGTCTTACATGGTAATTTCTTGTAGAGAAATAACAAGGATTTTGCAATTAAGCTCCGCCTCCTTGGTTCACGACGAATAAAAAAAATCATCACAATTGAGATAGGGCGGGCGGACGGGGCTTATATTTTGCCTTGTTTCTTAATGTATGTAGTCGTCTTTTCAGAACAAAAAACTTAAAACATGTAGACAAATATGGATCTTGCAATTAAGCCCCGCCCCTCGTTCTGACAACGAATTCATCACAATTGAGAATTGAGATAGGGGCGGGTATGGGTGGGGCCTAATCTTTGGCTTCATTTTTTTCTTAATATTAGTATTCTTTGAAAAACACGATACTCAAAAATATGTTTTTAATTTCTAGTGGAGGTTTTTGCAGTTAAGCTCCGCCCTCTTAGCTCACGACGAATAAAGAAATAATTACAATTGAGACAGGGCGGGTGGGCGGGGCTTATATTTTGCCTTTTTTTCTTAATACGTGTAAACTTATTTCGACAACAAGAAATGTCTAAAATGGTAAATTTTTGTAGTAATCAACTTAAATCCTCCACTTTTCTTCTACAACCCCTTTAAATACGCCAAAAGTTGAACATCAAAGCACATCAAAGTTACTATCAACGGCAACGAAGATGTGGTGATCCTGAACGCACCCAACCATCCTAACCTATAAACACCTATAAACTAAAAAATCAATTTTTCATCAAAGTAAACAAACATATTTTCTTCCAAACCGAGGGTATAGTGTAACATTTTTAATCACTGATAGTTTAAATGAAAGTTTCAGATTCACGCCTGAGCGATGTTGAGCTATTCTGACAAATTTGTCTGCATGAAATCCTCCAACAGAGTCCAGAAATGCCAGATTTGTCCATATTTCACGACGTTACAATTTTTCATGGTAAACCACGCCAGACGGCACCACTCCCCCCCAGTACCTTTCAGCTGTGAAAACCCCGTACAAATTTATAACTGCGATGACTGCAAATTCCAGACACCCCTTACTATTGACCTCAAGAGACACATAGAAAATTTTCACAACAGAAATTTACCAATCATCGACTACAATATTCCAACTTACGTTTGTAAAAAGTGCAACTTTGAGAGTCACTTTTCAATAACCTGGCTTAGACACACTATAGAATGTGAAGCAAATGTTCAATTAGTGGAAAATAGTCAACCTTTGACAGAACATAAACTGAAAACTCCGACAGACAAGACCCAGCTGAAGCGCCGTTTATGCAGCCAGTGTTCATTTCAAGGAAAAAATTCCGTCGCTTTAAGAAACCACAGACGAAATGTTCACTCAACAAACGTCAAGTGGTATCAGTGTGAACAATGTCCACACAAAACTAAATATCCGCGCCATTTAAAACAGCACGTTCTGAACGTACATGGCGCAATTAAGAGGATTAATTGTGACCAGTGCCCCCACGTAGCGAAAAATAAAGATAGCTTAAGGATGCACGTACTTAGATTTCATTCAAATCGAGGGTACTATGAGTGTGACTACTGTGCATATAAGTCACGACATCCAAACAATATAAAAACTCACATGATGAGTAAACATTTAATTGGCAGTGAGCTTGAGTGGCAACAGTGTGAGAAATGCCCGTTTAAAACCAAACTAAAACATTACCTGAAAAGACACCAGAAACGCACTCATTTTACTGATAATGATATCGAGCGGATTAGAACGGTAATGTCGACGTAGCCGGAAAGTTCGAAATTGAAACGAAAATGAAATAATGTAATCGTTATTGATGTATAAATATTAAATTTAATTCACACTTGACGTTTTTTCTGTTTGATTTCTTTCGGATTTGAACGTACCCCAATTTTGACATTGATTGAAATGACAGATACACAAACAATCTGTTCTAACCTAACTTTTTCGCTGTAAATACTTCAAACTTCGAAAAACTTTTCACCGTTTTGTTTGTTAACTCTCTAGGTGAGTGTAAACACACGGTAATTTTTGTTTAATAACGGTTACAGATCTGTAGGTGGAAATGTCGAGCTTTCTCTATTCGGACAAATTTTCTCGCTCTTGTGAAATTTTTCCAATGGTAAATCGTGGCGCATCATCACTGCCTTTCAACTGTGAAAACCAAATAGAATTTTATCACTGCAGTGGTTGTAATTTTCGCACAGATCTGACCATGATTCTGAGAAAACACGTCGAAAAGTATCATTTGAGTGAGAGGAATAGTGACTACAATATTCAAAGCTACGTTTGTAAAAATTGTAATTTTGAAACCCATTTTCCAATGAAGTGGCTTCAGCATGCTTTAATGTGTCAAGACAGGGCACAATTGTCTGTGAAAATGGTCAAACAAAACATTGTTGCCAAGTGTGCGGAAAACGACGAAATATATCAATATCTCTGTGAAAAATGCTCCTTCAAAACCAAAAGAAAAAAATATTTAAAAAGACACACCTACGCCATGCACACAGACGAAAAAGATATAAAGTGGCACCAATGTGAAAGCTGTTCCTATAGAACTAAATTTAAACACTCTTTGAAGTCCCACATAGAGACGATTCATATCGACAAAAATGACATAAAGTGGCACAAATGTAGCCACTGCTCTTATAAAGCCAAAAACTCGATCCATTTAAGAAAACACACCTATTACAAACACTCAGACGATAAAATCAGGTGGTATCAATGTGAAAAGTGCCCACACAAAACCAAATATAAATCAGCGATGAAAGTCCACATGAGGAATAAACACGACGAAATCAAACGACTTAAGTGCGAAAAATGCTCACGAACTGCCAAAAATAAGGAGAGCTTGAGGAAACACATGCTCATGTTTCATGTGAATGTTAAGTGGCACGAGTGTGAGCAGTGCACGTTCAAGTCGAGATATTCGCAGCAGTTGAAAGAACATCTGCGGATCAACCATCCGGCCAGTGAGAGCGAGGTTAAGTGGCACCAATGTGACAAGTGCCCGTTCAAAACTATCAAAAAGAATTCTTTCAAGACGCATTTAAGGAGAAATCACTTCGGTGGCGGTGTTAAAAAGATCAGTATTATTGTTTCTACTTGAGTGTAGGGTTGCTGGTGGTTTAAAAAGTGAACACAATACGAAAAATTCGATTTTAATTTTATAATTTTCAGTGCCATAGGGATATTAAAACATGCTAAAATTCAACAGATTTGACTTTTATTTCATTGAATTTTTGCTTATTTAAGGGTAAAAATTGGTATATTACATCGTCAATCACATTTCTCTTAAATATTCCTTTTTTCGTCATCCACGTGTTTGGTAGTTGTATGTCTAGTTAAAGTCGATTTGATCTTGGTTTTATATGGACAATATTGGCATTCGTGCCATTTAACATTGCCTTCCTGCGAATGCTTCCTTAATATGTGTGTGGTTAAAACCCGCTTTAGTTTGCACTTGTATGGACAACTTTGGCATTCGTGCCATTTAATATCGCGTTCGTCCAAATGTCGCGAAGTTATATGACTCTGCAAATGGGAAACATGTTGAGTTTTATATGGACAGTTTTTACACTCGTACCATTTATACTTATTCAGATGCTTAAAACCTACGTGTCTATTTAAGGTCCATTTTTGCTTAGCTTTATATGGGCAATGGTTGCATTCGTACCACTGTATATCTTGCTCGTCCAAATGGTACGTATTTACGTGATTTTTTAAACTGTAACCATATTTGGTTTTGTATGGACAGTTGGTACATCGGTGCCATTTAATGTCCTTTTCGTCTAAATGCCGCGTCATTTTATGAAGTTCCAAGTATTGTTTTCGTTTAGCTTTATATAAGCACTTGTCACACTCATACCATGTAATATCCTCTGGGTCTAAATGATGAATGTCAATGTGAACTTTTAAATGTGCTTTTCGTCCAGTTTTGTAGGAGCACTTTTCACATTGAAACCGTTTGACATCACAATGCTGTACACGTACGTGTGCTTTTAAATTGCTGTTGTGTTTAGCTTTGTATGGGCACTCCTTGCATCTGTACCACTTAATATCCTCGTCATTTGAATGCTTAAATTTTATGTGCATTTTTAAATATGGACCACACTTAGCTTTATACGGGCATTTTCTGCACTGAAACCAGTCTATCTCGTCGTCGTTTCGGTGCTTTACAATTGTGTGTGTCTTCAAACTTTCTTTACGCTTGCACTGGTAGTCACAGTGATCACACTTAAAATAAGAAATGTCTTTATTTATCGAACATCTTGAGACATGCTGCAGCCATTTAAGAACAAAGAAGGTTTCAAAGCTGCATTTTTCACAAGTGTAACTACGAATCGTGTGTTCCACGTCTTTTTTAAACCTGTGGTGTTTGAAAGTGAGTGTACATTTTGTCCGAAAGTCACACTTCTTGCAGTGGTAGAAATCAATGTCACTAGTTTCACAGTCGAAAGGGGTGAATGATGGGCGCTGCTTCGCCATAAGAAAACCCGATGTTGTGAAAAGGGGGCACAGTTGGCTCGACTTGATGTTTTTGGAAAACATAACCTCAAATCAAATTAACCTGAAAATGGAATTAATAAATATAGTAACAGTCGCTGCAGATGTAAAAGTAACATACTTTTGTAGTGGAGACATTGACTATTCTTGTTTTTATTTAGATTTTAGGTATAAATTTTGGTTATTTGGCCAACTCAACTTTAAACATGCTTTAAATATGCTTTGAATTAGGCAACACGTAATACACCTACAAAATATGTACAGGAAGTATAGACAACACACAATACAATCGATTATATTAGCTTTTTTGGAATGAAAGATACATTAACTATTAAATATACACTACTATCACAACAGTAAATTAAAGTACACATTTACACGTCACATATACATTACACATTTACTTCTACTTCGTGTGTACGTTCTTCATGTGTTCACCCAACCGGTGCTTAAACTTCGCCTTATATGTACACCTTTCACACTGATACCACTGAATTTCATTCTCACTCAAATGGTTGTTAATTACGTGTTGTTTCAAATTCACCTTAAGCTTGGCTTTATAATCGCACTGTTCACACGTGTACCACTGAATACTTTCACCGCTCGAATGCTGTGTATATTCATGTTGCATTAAGTTTCTTTTCCATCTCGTTTTATGGGGGCACTGTTTACATTCATACCACTTAATTTCGTTCTTGTTGGCATGCTTGGAAAACATGTGAAGCGTCAAATCCTTTTTAATTTTCCCTTTAAAAGGACACTTTTCACATTGGTACCATTGTATCTCGTTGTCTTGCATATGTTGCTTAATTTTATGCATCTTTAACGTGTGAATATAGTTCGACTTGTATTTACAGTAGTCGCACTTGTACCACGTGGAGTCGTCGATCTTTTTCTCCTTTTTTATTTCCATGTGACGCCGTTTAATATGGCTCATCAAAGTCGATTTTTGTTTGGTTTTATGAGGACATTTGTTGCATTGATACCACTGGATTTCGTCGTCTTTTAAATGGTTCGTGATTTTGTGGACTTTTATCGAGGATTTGTACTTGGATTCGTAGTCACATTCGTCGCACTTGTACCACTGACACGTGGTGGATTTAACGTCGTTTTGGTCACAATGTCGGGCGAATGTGTGTCTTTTCAAATTTCCTTTTTGTTTGGTTTTGTATGGACACTTATCACACTCGTGCCAGAGTGTCTCACCATCCACGACAAGCTGTCTTTTGTGTTTTTTATTTTTCTTAGAACCCACAAGTCGTGCGTACTGTTTACCCTGAAGACAATTGGCACTGTGTTGCAGCCACTTTAAGACAAAGTTTGTTTCAAAGTTGCACTTCTTGCAAACGTACGTTTGAACGTAGTTTGATTGTTTGTTCTCGGCGTGATACCTCTGCACGTGCTCCTTTAAACCAGTGGCGAGATTTGTCTCAAAGTCACACTTTGTGCAGTAATAAATGTCAATGGGGTCCTCACAGTGGAAAAGTATGGACGACAAGCGGTGTCGTTTGTCGTGGTTGACCATACAAGCCACCGACGTTGTGAAATACGGACAAATTCTGCAGTTGTGTACTTTGTTCGAGAAAAATTTCACTTGAGAAAACCTGTCTGAGTATTCCATTTTGGCTGACCTAAATTCATAATCTGTGGTTTATTGTGATACTAAATCGGTGTTTGTGGCTTAATCTTACCCAAATTGTGTTAATTAAAGTGGGAAAAGTGTCTCTTGAGCGCTTCTTTGTGAAAGGTGATCAATTTCTTGGGTTTCACGGTAAGGTAGGCAACACACAATACGCGTTACCAAAATTCGATTTCTGTGAACTTGTAGCACGGATACACACTGTAGGTCTGCACATGATAAAGCTAAATTGTGACAATGTAAATTATGTTACAATCACGCTGTTGGGTTTAATTGTTCACTTTTATTTGTTTTTGTTTATAACCTAAAAGGACCCACCCGTCAGACATTGCAGCCAATCACAGCGAGTTATTTTTGGTGTAGTTTGTCAAAAAGAATTGTGATTAATAAAAAATAATAACAATAATAATAAAAAAATGCTTCTGTAAAAGTCCTTACATATATATTTGTATTTTTAATTACATATTCAAACACAAGAACATTAATTAATTAAATCAATTATTTTGGTGTAGTATTGGTTGCATAACCACTTAGTGCGAAAGCATGTGACCATTCAACAACTGATCCAAATGATGCGTAATTATGTGCTTCTTTAAATGAACATTTTGTTTTCCTCTGTATGTACATTGTGTGCATTCATACCATTTAATATCCCGTTCGTCTAAATGCCGCGAAATTACGTGTCTTTTCAAAACTCCGTTTTGTTTAGCTTTATATGGGCACTTGTCACATTTGTACCATGTTATGTCCTCCTCACCCAAATGGCGCGCATTTATGTGATTTTTCAACGCCGTATTCCTCATTGTTTTGAATGGGCACTTGTTACACTCAAACCATTTAATTTCCCCTTCACTTAAATGATGAACAAAGTGCTTCTTTAAATTAGAACTGTCTCTAGTTTTATAAGGACACTTTTTGCACTCAAACCACTTCATGTCACTTTCAGTCAAATGGTGTTTATTTACGTGCTGTTTCAAACTGGAGTTGTTTTTGGCTTTGTATGGGCAACATTGACATTGGTTCCATTTAATTTGTCCCGTTTCCAAATGGTAGGCATTTATGTGACGTTTCAAGCTACATTTGTACTTAGTTTTGTATGGACATTTTCCGCACTCGTGCCATTTAACGTCGTGGTCTTTCAAATGGCGGGCGTTTATGTGTTTTTTCAAATGAGAAGGCCGCTGAGTTTTGTAGTGACAGGTTTCACATACATACCATTTAACGTGTTTTTTTCGTGAACATTCCAAATTATGCTGAAGCCACGTTACCACAAAGCCGGTTTCGAACTGGCACCGTTCACAAACGTACTTGGTGACAGAGGGTAGACTTTGTACGATTTCTTTAACACTGTGCCATTTTTTCATGTGTTGTTGGAACACAAGGGTTAATTCTGTTTGAAAATTGCAGTCTTTGCAGTGGTAAAGTTCCACGTTTGTGTTTTCGTTTTGACAGTTAAATGGGGTTGGGGGTGACAAGTGTTGCTTGGCGTGGTTCACCATGAAAAAACCTGATGTTGTAAAGTACGGGCACAGATTACAATTATGGGCATATCTGGGGGGTCTTTGCACTAGAGCGGTTTTTTTGGAATATTCTAGAATCGACATTGTTGTTTACCTGCAAATTGAGTCTCTACAAATGCGTGGTTATTGGTTTTTCTTACCTAAACTTCTTTGGAAGACATAACCTCAACATTTTTTTTTTTTTTTTGGTATTTAGTTTACAATGCGTGACCGTAGAAGTTGGTAAAATTGTTCTATGATTATTTTAATAGCAACAAGCCTTACTTCTAACGTTTGTTTTTCTTTTTTTTATAGTTTTTGGGTATACTTTTTAGTTAGGCAACACAAAATACATCTACATAACCTCAAAATGTGTACTTTTTAACTAAAGGTAGGCAGCACACATTACACATGTATAAATTACAATGAATAAAACACAGTTAAACAGGGTATAATTGCTTTATTAAAAAATACATTATCATTCCCATTTAGACGAATCAACTAATATCCATTTTGTCCAAATGTTTCGCATTTGTGTGTCTTTTTAAATTAGACGCTTGCCTAGTTCTATACACACAATACTGGCACTCAAACCACTTAATATCTTTTTCATCTAAATGATGCACCCTTATGTGACTTCTCAAAGTAGAAGTATTTTTAGCTTTATATGTACACTGTTTGCATTCATACCACTCCACGTCCTTCTGCTCCGAGTGCTGCGCCCCAATGTGTCTTTTCAAATTAGCGGCTAATTTACTCCTATACGAACAATGTTGGCACTGATACCATTTAATATCTTTCTCTTCTAAATGATGCACTATTATGTGGCTTTTCAAAGTTGAAAAATGTTTAGCTTTATAAGGACACTGCTTGCATTCGTACCATTTCACGTCCTTCTCGTCCAAATGGTGCGCATTTATGTGTCTTTTTAAATCATTGAGGTGTTTAGCTCTATATGAACAATATATGCATTCAGACCATTTAATATCTTTTTCGTCCAAATGTCGCACTCTTATGTGTCTTCTTAAAGCTGAAGCCTGTTTGCCTTTATATGGACACTCTTTACACTCGTGCCATTTCACGTCTTTTTCGTCCAGATGGTGCGTGTTTATGTGGTCTCTCAACGACGAGTTGTACTTGGTTTTGTATGGACATTGCAAGCATTTGTACCATTTCACGTCTTTTTCGTCCAAATGGCGCGTGTTTGTGTGGACTTTCAAAGAAAAATTGAATTTGGTTTTGTATGGACATTGTAAACATCTGTACCATTTGATGTCTTTTTCGTCTAAATGATGTGCCATTATGTGGTTTTTTAAATGTGATTTACTTTTGGCTTTGTATGTGCATTGTTGGCATTCGTACCATTTAATACTCTGTTGATGTTTCATGTACATGTGACTGGTTAAGTAGCGATTTTGTTTAGTTTTAAATGGGCACTGGTTGCATTCGTACCATTTAATATTTTCCGCATCCATGTGGCACGACGTCGTGTGATGCGATAGTCGAAATTTGACTTTAGTTTTGTATGGACACAGTGCACACTCGAACCATTCGTCCGAATGATGCACTTTCACGTGGTTTCGTAAATACGAACTACACTTACTTTTGTAGGGACAATATTGGCATTGGTACCATTTCACGTCCTCGTCGCCCAAGTGTTTAGTGATTATGTGACTTTTCAAGGACATTTTGCGTTTAGCTTTATATGGACACTGGGTACAGTGGAACCAAGTTGTTTCGTCGTCGTTCAAGTGTTTTGAGATGTTGTGTAGTTTTACAGAACGTTTGTACTTGGATGTGAACTCACACTGGTCACATTTATACCACGTGAAACCATTTTCAGTGTCTTGGTTGGTACCACCACTCTGGAAACATGCTATGGTGTGTTGGAGCCACTTCAAGGAAAAATGGGTTTCAAAGTTGCACTTGTCACACTCGTGGTTTTGAATGGTGTACTCTAGGGGTAGTAAATCTTTTTCTTTTTTGATTCCATGATATAGCTTGACGTGTTGTTTAAAAAGAACGGTGAGTTGGGTCTGGAAGGTGCAGTCTTTGCAGTAATATGTCTCAATGGTGTTTCGTTCGCAGTTGAAGGGGGTGAACGGGAAAAGGTGACTTCTTGTGTGGATTGGTAGACTACCATTATGGTCTTTTTTGGAGGGAAATTCACCATGAGTTACTGATTTTTCGAAATACTCGAGCAACGACATGGTTTACCTAGTCATTAATGGGCTTTTATTACGTTTTGTAACAATCATTATTTCATTCTTACCTTAACTTCTTGCGGGTTCAAATTTGTTTTCTACTAATTTAACCTCAACAATATATTTCCATGTCACAGTTTGGCTTGATAAATAAGACTGAGCAGGTTTATTTTATTAAATAAACGGTAATTTGTTGATTTTTTTTGGGGTTAGATTGTTTCTATTTCGATGACGACACTCGTCGATTAGGAACTTCATCTGTCACCTGTCAATAGTGTCAAATTAAAAACGATAAAATCGTAATGTGTGTTGCCTACCTAAACCTAAACAAAATTACATTATTATCTTCTTTATTAAAAATATCATTTCATAACATCATCATCCTATTGATCAATTTAATATCATTATCACTAAAGTGTATGCTTTTTAAATGCGAATTTAGCGACCTTTTCGCTTTAGTCTTAAACGGGCACTTGTCGCAGTGATACCAATTCACCTCACTGTCACGTAAGTGTCTATACATAACATGCCTTTTTAAATCATTTTTGTGACGTGTTTGAAATGAACATTGCTCACATGAGTACGTTCTTACAGCTTCATGACACCTATACATGTGCAACCTCAAGCTTTCCTTATTCTTCGCCCAGCGCGAACACTTTTCGCATATGAGTGGCTTACATCCACCATGTACATTCCTCGTGTGGGTTTTAAACGCGCTTTTATATTTACTTTTATAAGCACACTTTTCACACTGATACCACGTGATTTCATCACCAGAATGTTGGTAGTACGTGTGTTTTCTTAAAGTGTAGGCGAATTTTGTTTTGTAGGTACAGTGGTGGCATTTGTGCCACTTGATTTCATCCTGATCCATGTGAATAAATATATTGTGAGCTCTTAAATTGTTTTTACGCCGTGTTTTGTACGGACACTTTTCACATTGATGCCATTTGATGTCTTTTTCGTCCATGTGCTTGAAAGATGTGTGATTGTTTAAGTATTTTTTGGTTTTGGTTTTAAATGGACATTTATCGCAGTGGTACCAACTTATTTCTGCATCTACTTGTCTGGCTATCGAAGATTTTGTCTGGTGACATGTAATTGTGTGCTGGAGCCACTTCATTGGAAAATGGGTTTCAAAACTGCAAATTTTGCAGTTGTAACTGTGTATGTCATAACTGATATCTCTTTTATTCAAGTGGCACTTTTTAATGTGTTCCTTCAAAAGAATGGTAAGACTGGTCTTAAAATTGCAGTCGTCGCAACAATAAATTTCTATATCGTTTTCGCAGCCAAAAGGTACCAATGAAGAGTGGTCGCGTCTAGAGTGGCTTACCATCAAAAATGGTAATGTTGTGAAGTAGGGACAAATTTGACACTTTTGACCAATGCTATTGGACTTCACGTTGGAAAATTTTTCAGAGTAGACTAATAGTGACATCTGAAAACCTGCATTAGTATTATTTATTAAAATAAACATTCTTTCTCACCTTGTGTTTTAATAAAATCTTCACAATAGAAAAAACGACGTAAATAACTTATGTGAGGTTAGAATGTCACACGATAAGTTCATCGTGTGTTTTCACTTTGCGCCATTGTTGGTTGCCTACATAAATAAAATTATTAAACAAAAAAACGTGCATTTAATTCCAAAATTGATTATTCTTTAAAGTCGTATTTTAATTTAATCCAGAAAAGTCGCCCCTCAACTACTGTATTTCGTCACATGTTCCACAATTTGTGTAGACGTTTGAGGTTATGTCCACAATTTCATCAAACTTGAGGTGAGAAAATCAAACAATGCGTACTTTAATCGTAACAAATTAATAATCATAGACAAACCTAATGTCGATTCTGGAATACTCCGAGTTTTCTCCCATGGTAAACCACAAAAAACGTCACTGCTCATCTCCAAAACACTTCAACTGTGAAAATAACCCCATCGAGCTATATTCCTGCAACGACTGCAATTTTCGCTCAGAACTAACCCTAGAATTTCAGCAACACGTCAAAAAATGTCATAGTCCAAACCAAGCAATGCTGAACCACAAAATTCAAAACTACACTTGTCGCAAGTGCAAGTTTGAAACTCACTTTATACTTAAGTGCCTCCAACACACAACAACGTGCCAACGCAACGAAAAAGCGACACCAGTTCAAACAGACAGGAAACTTAAAAAGAACGATTTCAAATGCACGAAATGCCCTTACAGAGCCAAACAAATGTCGGATTTAAAACGACACACAGTTGCTCGGCACCTAGATGAGCGCCACATTGTCTGGTTTAAGTGCAGCCAGTGTCCATACAAAGTTAAACTAAAAGCGAATTTAAAACGTCACGTGAATTTGCGCCATTCGGATGGACGAGACGTTAAATGGTACGAATGTGAAAAGTGCCCCTACAGAACCAAATACAAATCGGCGTTGAAGGATCACACAAACGTGCTGCATTTGGACGATGGGGACGTTAAATGGTATGAATGTAAAAAGTGTCCTTATAGAACTAAATACAAAACGGCGTTAAAACGCCACAATTCGCGCCACTTGGATGCAGGGGAGGTTAAATGGTTTGAGTGCCAAAAGTGCCCGTATCGGAGTAAGTATAAATCGGCTTTGAAAGACCACGTAAATGCGCGTCACTTGGATGGAGCGGATGTTAAATGGAATGAGTGCCAGAAGTGTTCGTACAAAACTAAGCACAGAACGGCCTTAAAGCGCCACATTTTGTGTCATTTGGAATAATATTAATAAAGATTCTAAATCGAAATAACAATGACTGGAAGGTGTATTGTGTGTTACCTAACTCACTGACAGTTTATGTTCCTATTTCAGATTTTAAGGAATATCGTAATTTTCTTTTGAAATTAGACAATGTCGTGAGTTATTCTACAGTGCAGGGTATTTTTTTACAATGTTAAAGTTGTTATTAAAACACGAGCAGATGGGCCTCGTGTTTGAGGTTATGTATTCATTACGTGTCATGTTACGTGTGATCCGAAGATTTTCTAGAAGTAAGAACCCAAAGAATGTAACAGAATTCTCATCGTTTATTTTAGGCTAACGAAATGTCTACTCTGGAATACTCAGAAGCGTCTACTTGCATTAAACCATCCCTTAGAAACATCCACAAATGTGAAATGTGCCCATTCTTCACAACTTCGATGTTTCTTATGATAAATCACGTCCGACGCCATCAGTCTTCAACAATATTTGACTGTGAAACCACGAAAATCGAAATTTACGACTGCAAAGACTGCAATTTTCAAACAGAGCTAACAATCCTTTTCAAACTACATATTAAAGAGTATCACAATCGTAAAAAAGACCAAGATTTATCACGTTACAACGTTAAACGCTACAGCTGCGAAACGTGCATTTTTGAAACACATTTCTCGTTGAAGTTTCTTCAACATACTACAGCATGTTTGAGAACAGGTTGTGGTACCAGAAAAAACATTAAATGTGACCAGTGTGACTACAAAGCCAACAAAAACTATCTTTTACAACGACACAGGATTTCCAAACATTTGACAGACGACGAAATCAGTTGGTACTACTGCGGAAAATGTTCATACAAAGCAAAACGCCGAGAAAGTTTGCAAGCTCACACGTATGCCCGACATACAGACGACCGGTATATACGATGGCACGAGTGCAAAGTCTGTTCATTCAAAAGTAAAGCTTCCGGTGCTTTAAAACGTCACCTAATTCGACACAATTTAGACCACGATGATACCACCTGGTACACCTGTGACCATTGCTCCTTCAGAAGCATACATAAAACGAGTTTAACCAAGCACCTGATCATACGACATTTAAATAAGGAAGATGTTGAATGGCACGAATGCGACTTGTGCCCGTACAAAGCCAAACTTAAGAATATGCTGAACCGTCATGTACGGAGGCGGCATTCAGATGTTGATGATCCTAAATGGTTTGAATGCAACCTTTGTCCATTTAAAACCAGTCGTAAGATCATTTTCAACAATCACACGAAGAACAAGCACTTGAATGGACAAGGCGTTAAATGGTATGAGTGTCAAAAATGTCCACACAAAACGAAACGAAAAGATCTACTAAATTTTCACGTAATTTCGCGTCATTTGAATGAGGAAGAGATTAAATGGCACGAGTGCGACAAGTGCCCGTACAAAGCGAAAATTAAAGGAACGTTAAAATCGCACATAAATAAATGTCATTCGGATAAATAAGTATGCGGGTGTATTGTTGGTTGCATTTTATTAGTGCTATTGTGTATAAAGTGTTGCCTATATAATATTGAGTCGAATAAAATTTTATTTTTTTGAATTTTTACACGTAGCGTGTGATTATAATACAAAGTATTGTTTAGTTCTTTGCATTGTGCATGTTTTAATATAAACGACGTACAATGTTATGATTTTATTTCTTTGCTTTTGACGCTAACTTTTGAGGTTATGTTCACACAAAACGAAAACTGGTAAGTACAGACGTAAATATTCTAAATTCTCTGATAAAAAAATATTTAGGACAGTCGTCGCTAATGGAAGGCTTGGGGCGATTTTCACACCCTGTCTGTAGCCTTAAAGTTGAAAAATACACAAATCAAAGCACACCGTCAAGCCTTTTTAATTGCGAAGACGCACCCATTGAAGTTTATTTCTGCAAGGAACTGAATTTCCAAACTTACCTGAAAGTCTTTTTGACGCAAAACTTCAACACTTGCCACAGCATAAACAGAAACTACATTCCGAGGTTGTATACTTGTGACAAGTGCCGTTTTGAAAGCCATTTCGCCTTGAAATGGCTTCAACACAGCGTTTCGTGCTCTGAAACTAAAGAAAAACCAGCCAAAGTTACCTCTTTGGATACGTGTGACCAGTGCGGTTTTACAACCAAACACAAAGCGTATTTAAAAAGACACATTGCTGCACATTTTGTGGATGAAAAAGACATCACGTGGCACAAATGCAGCCAATGTTCGTATAAAGCTAAGCACAAAGTGAGTTTGAGGAATCACATACAGACCCACCATGTGGATGAGAAGGATGTTGAATGGTATGAGTGCACAAAGTGTCCATATAAAGCTAAGTTGAAGGTGAGGTTGCGCTACCACGAAAGAAAGACCCATAAATGTTAGCCTGTTTACTATTATTAATAAAGATTTTAAATTTAACGTGTATTGTGTGTTGCCTACCCAGGCGTGAAAAATCAACAATTGAGTCTTCTGCATAAATAAAACTGTGTTTTTCGATTATTACCGCTGCTATAAGTATTTGTAGCAATTGCGTTCCATTTTAGTGCCACTAAACACCATTCAACGAATTTCTTCAAACGAACTTAATTTTTGAGGTTATGTTTCCCGCCAGGTGATTAAGGTAAGAAAAACCACAACTATTTTTCTAATTTAATACCACTTATTAATTCAGTTATGAAGTCCAAGTCGCTTCTGGAATATTCGGACAAGCTTCCGCTGAAAAAATTTTACTTCACAAAAATTTTTCAGATGGTTAACCACCCCTTGGTCACACCATTTGACTGCAAACACCCCGTCGATGGCCACTATTGCAAAGACTGCGACTTTCACACCAATCTCACCGTATTTCTGAAAACGCACGTCCAAGAATATCACACCAAAACCCATCAAGAACCACTCAAACTTCAAGCTTACGTGTGCAGAAACTGCAACTTTGAAACCCACTTTGTGCTAAAGTGGCTCCAGCACAGCGCGACTTGTCTTCCAGTGAGAAACCACGCCTGGTTAAGAACTCTGAATAAAGCGTACAACGACGCTGAAAAAAAATCGTATCAGTGCGACCAGTGCGAGTCCAATTTCACAAAAAACTACTCTTTAAAAAAACACAAAATATCGAGGCACTTGAAAGACGACGAAATCGAGTGGTATCGGTGCGACTTGTGTCCCTACAAAGCCAAGCAGAAAGGCAATTTGAAAACGCACATTTTCACCCGACATTTGGATACACAGAACGATGAAACGAAAGAGTGTAAGGTGCATAATTGTGACCAATGTGACTACAAAACCAAGTACAAATGTGCCTTAAAAGTACACAGAGTGACGAATCATTTGAAAGACGACGAAATCCAGTGGTTTCGCTGTGACAAGTGCCCGTACAAAGCTAAACAAAAATCGACTTTGATAGGTCACTTCAGGATTCGGCATATGGGTAGGATGAGAAGCACGAAGTACGACGAAGGGGTGGAATATGTTCCTAAATGGTTTCAATGTGATCAGTGTGAGTATAAATCGAACCAAGCGAGCGTGCTGAAAACGCATAGAATTAGAAAACACTTGAAAGACGACGAGGTGCGGTGGTATAGGTGTGAACAGTGCTCCTACAAAGCGAAAATTAAAAAATATCTTGTGGATCACATAGAGCTGAAACATACCAGTGAACAAGAAGTTAAGTGGTATCGGTGCAAAAAGTGTACTTTTAAAACTAGGTGGAAGAAAAATATGGAAACGCACGATATTAATAAACATTTGACTGAGAACAGTATTCAGTGGTACACCTGTGAGCAGTGTGCGTATAGATCGAAGATCAAAGGCAACGTGAAAACGCACGTCATTATCAATCACTTGAGCGAAAGTGAAGTGCGGTGGTTTCAGTGCGAAAAGTGTAGATATAGAGCCAAGTTTAAGCATAGGTTGAATGCACATGTTAGTAATATGCATGGGAAGTGAACTTTATTAATAAAACATGTAAAATAATTTTTATGTAGACAACCAACAACACAGCGAAGTGAAAACACCCGATGAACTAAAATACAAAAGTCAAATTTTATTAATTCGGATGACACTAGTATTGACAAGTGACAGATACAATTCCTATTTTGATAATTTGATAACCCACAGCAAGGCGAAGTGTCGTCATCAAAATACAAGCAAATAATACAATCAAAATTAGAAAAACAAGAAATTGGCGTATATTTAATAAGCTATATCCTGCTTTGCATTATTTGTCAAGTTAAACTTGTGACAGGAATTCGTTTTTGAGGTTAAGTTTCAAGCAAGAATTTGTGTTATTCCGTCGAAATTGAGGTAAGAAATGAAATGATTGCCACAAGTGTAATACAGGACTATTAATGAATAGGTAAAACATGTCGATACTGGAATATTTCGACAAGTCACCAACTCATGAATCTTTCTCTATAAATGTCCCGTTGACACCCTTTAACTGTGAAAGAAACACCATCGAGATATATTTCTGCAAAGACTGCAACTTCCAGGCAGAACTCACGGTTCTTTTGAATCAACACGTCAGAAAATATCATGGTATTAAAAAAGAAAACGATTTGGATTCGCCAGTTCCCGAATATAGTATACAAAAATACGAGTGTGACAAGTGTAAGTTTGAGACACACTTTTCCATGAAGTGGCTCCAACACACCTTGGCATGTTTACAAAATCAGAAAAACGCTTCTAAATGTAAAAAACGAACCACGAAGAGCGCGTTTACGTGGTATACATGTTCCCAGTGCGACTTCAAATCCAAGCACAAACGTTCCGTGAAGATGCACAACATCTCAAAACACTTGAACGACGACGAAACAACTTGGTATCACTGTTCCCAGTGTCCATATAAAGCTAAACGTAAAATATACTTAAAAAGTCACATAATCACGAAACACTTAGGCGACGAGGAAATCAAATGGTACGAATGCCAATATTGCCCCTACAAAAGCAAGTGTAGTTCGTATTTAAAAAGTCACATAAAAGTACACCACTCGGACGAATGGTACGAATGCACGATGTGCCCCTACAAAGCCAAAGTCAAAGCCCGCTTATCCTATCACATAACTTCATGCCACGTGGATGAAGAAAATATCAAATGGTATGAATGCAAACAGTGTCCGTTTAAAACCAAACAAAACCGCTACTTAAAAAACCACATCAACACCAAACACCAAGAAGACATTAAATGGCATGAATGCCAACAATGCACCTACAAAGCTAAAAGTAACTCGCGTTTAAAAGACCACATAATGGCGCTTCATTTAGACGAGAAAGACATCAAGTGGTACAAATGCTTGCAATGTCCGTACAAAACTAAATACAGTTCTTCGTTGAAAGTCCACATAAACACGCGCCATTTGGACGAAAAGGACGTGAAATGGTATGAGTGCAAGCTGTGTCCGTATAAAGGCAAACAGGCGTCGACTTTACGAAGCCACATAAAGGTGCACCATTTGGATGAAAAGGACATTAAATGGTCCGAGTGCATGTATTGTTCATATAAGGCTAAACAACTGATTGATTTGAAAAGACACATCAACGCGCAACACTTGGACGAGAAGGACGTTAAGTGGTATGAATGCAAACAGTGTTCTTATAAAGCTAAACACGGGTCTACTTTGCGAAGTCACGTGAGGGTGCACCATTTGGATGAGAAAGATATTAAATGGTACGAGTGCCAATATTGTTCGTATAGGACGAAACAAACTGCTAATTTGAAAAGGCACGTGAATGCGAAGCATTTGGATAAAATGGATATTAGTTGGTTTGATGCGACAATGACGGTGTAAAGTTGCACTTAGTTGGTGTAATATTTTAAAGCAAACAATAAATTATATTAATTAGTAATAAATGATTTTTTAATGTTTGTGTAACACGTGTTGCCTATCTCGTACTGTTTAAGTAGGCAACCACTCTGCACGTCTTTAATTTTTGTATTTTCTGATTCACAGTTTTATTTTCAAAGTAGTTTAACAATAAAACTGTTCTTCCTGGGTTTCAGTGTCGTTAATTTTGATTAGTGTGATTAAACTGAAAATAGTTTGAATGTAAATTTTGAGGTTATGTTCGGAAAAGTACAATTCTCGAAAGTTCCAAAGCCAGGAAAAATGGAATAATTATTTTACAGTGCACATTTTGCAAAAAATGCGCTATTATCACTGTTAAAAGTAACTAAATAACTAAAACACAAATTTTGATTTTTTTACTTTTTAAATTTTCTGAACGCACTCATTCCAATTTAACCTATAAAATTTATCTAACCTAAAAATCCACTTGAAGAATAACACGGTGAGAAAAATAATTTCTATGTTAAAAGGTTAAAGTTCTTTATGTCTACAGATTGTCCACTCTGAAAAGGTTTACAACATGAAATCTTTATCCAATATTGTTCATAAATGCCAGATGTGTTCGTACTTTACAACACTACTGCTTTTTATGGAGAGTCATTCCAAACGCAATCATTCCATAATGCTACATTTCAGCTGTGATGACAATGTGGAAACTTATCGCTGTCGTGACTGCAACTTCCAGACAGATTTTATTGTCACTTTGAAGAAACACATTAAAGAGTGTCATCCAAGTGAAAAAAACAACTTCCAGCCAGATACCAGTTACAGTATTCAGAATTACAGTTGTAAAAATTGCGATCTCGAAACCCATTCTTCGATTAAATTTCTTCAGCACACCGTAGTTTGTCAAAAGGCTCGGCAACAAACGACCAAATTAAAATTACGCAGAACTGGAACACATTCACAAAAAAATTGTTGGTATCCATGTGAAAAATGTACTCACAAGAGCAAAACGCTATATCATTTAAGAAAACACATCTACGCCAAACACACAGACGAAAACGACATCAAATGGCAGAAGTGTGGTCATTGTTCATTCATGGCAAAAACCCCAGAACATTTAAAAGTTCATGTAAAGCACCAACATTTGGGTGATAAAACGCAGTGGTATCACTGTGACAAATGCCCCCACAGAACCAAATATAAACAAGGAATGAAAATACACGTGACAAATGTACACAGTGAAGAAAAACCAGTACAGTGTGAAAAGTGTTCACGCACTTTTAAGAATGAGACTGGATTAAGAAGTCACACGCGTCTCATGCACATGGAAATGCAAGGCCTCAGGTGTGAGAAGTGTCCCTACAGGACATTACGTACAAGGAATTTAAAAGCTCATGTAATTAGCAAACATTTGGATGAAAGTCAGATTGAGTGGCAGCAATGTGAACAATGTCCACACAAAACTAAAACCACATGGCTTTTAAAACAGCACATACATGATGTACATCAAGATGGTAAGAAATATCGCTGTGATCGCTGTACATTTAAATCGCGTAGTTCGTTGAAATTAGCAAACCATATAAACACCAAACATGCACAGGGCAGTGAAGTTAAGTGGTATCAGTGCACAAAGTGTTCTCAAAAATATAAATCTAACCCAAGTTTAAAACGGCACATGAGCTTGCAGCATGAAGAATTCCGGGGAAAATATCAGTGTGAACAATGTGGTTTTAAGTCATCTAGTCCACAACGTTTAAAAGACCATATAAATTGCAAACATGTAAGTGACGCTGAAGCTGAGTGGTACCAATGTGAACAATGTCCATTTAAACGTAAAAATAAATCGTCTTTGATGAAGCACATACGCTTGATACATTGAGGTGTTAGTCATTATAATTGAAAATATATAATTAAAACCTTGACTTTGTTTTAGCTGATCCCATTTTCTTCTCTCAATTTTTTTTATTTTTTAGCGTTTTCGCTGTTTTCTTTCGTATTCTTTGCGTTTAGTTGATTTGTCTATTTTTTAGTATTCATTTTATGTAATTTTTGCTATTTTCTTTATAATTCCTCTTCAAACAAAAATAACCAATTACACGTGAGAACAATCTGTGAACAGATTTTTTAAAGGTTTGTTTTATAACTGGCTTCTATCAGCGATACCTAGATGCTGAAACTGAAAACCACAGAACACTCAATTTAAAACTGAAAACTATCCGCCATGATGATTTCGTCAAGGCGCCATTATGCAAGTTTCAAGGTTGCTTATAACATTTATTTTATAGGCACTTCGTGTTGAGTTGTGTATAACTGGTTGCCTATGGGATAACATTCAAAATAATAAATTTGATTTAAAAAATGTAACAGCTTTTGATTAAAGATTACAAAATAATAATTCACGCACCTAACTTATGCAACCCCACTAGCACAACATAATCGTCCTCTTTTCGCACCTGAGAACTTACATTTAAATTTCCCACGCAAAATATACTGCGCGAGATTCCTGCGCAAGACACAATCGACCCCTCAAGGTTGTCGAGTGGAATATCACGTTCATCACTGGTTTAGGTGATAATTTAAAAACAGCTTAGTTAATTTTGATAAAGAAATCAGCCCAACTTGGAAAATATTTTATTTATAACATTAAATATACAAAATATTGTCTTTGTGATAATGACCGTGGAGTCAATTCTTCGAGCATAAACCTCATTTTATCGATTAAATCCTCAGATTGTAAATGTCTTTGTCGATAATAGCTGCCATCCCTCTTCAAGTAGAGCGTCAAAGTCTGTTTACGTGTCAAAGTCACGATAATCCTATTTCGGTGTACAGTAAACTTGGCGATATCTTTTGAACCAATAACCATACATTGAAAACCCGCGGGCTGTTTTGGATAAACCGTGATTTTTTCGTCAATTTCAACGGATGCTTTCACTGCAAGGCCGTTTTTTCTGGTGAATATAGCGTGAAATTCGTTTTTTCCCTGCTTCAGACAGACTTGTTTCAAGTCTTCTAGCAGATTTCCTGACAATAAAAAAGTTATTAGTTTTTTTATAACTTGCTGTATCGGTTATAGTGATAAAGGTACCTGTCATGTTTCTTGGAATTATACAGCAGCAACAGCACTAAATTTGAACCCAACTACACAACACGAACGAAAATTACTTGACGTGAAACGTGTAAGATAAGAATTGAGAATAACTTCGATGGTCAGAGGGGTTGTAGAAGAAAAGTGGGGGTGCTGAGGGATGTGCAGGTAGAGTTCGTCAGGCTATTTAAAATGTGATATTGATCTCTAAAGATACGTAATGAAAAATTTCACCATTTAAACAAAAAGATGATAAACTGTTTAAAAACTGCCGTTTTGTTGTATAAAGTTGTGGATAAATTATATTTAAAATTTCATAGCAAGAAGTATATTAAAAATGAAGATAATACTTTCTGAATGCTCGTCTTAAGACAAACTACCATAAATCCGTCACAAGGTTTTGAATTAGAAAGTCGTTGATGTCGGTGTTTTGAAGACGGCCGTTTCCAGGTATCCACCGAATTTGGGGATAAGTCCTTTATGATAGGGACTTACTCTGTGACTTCTCGGAAAATCCCATTTACCTGTCCCATTCTTGTGAAAATAACTGATAACGGTAACTAGTGCTTTGACAACATATTTATAAAAACAATTGAGATTGGTCAATATTCATTCTTTTATTTTTTAATTCGAACAAGACCAGGTCAATAATAATTAGGTTATTTTCGGAATCATTTTTTTGGAGATGATTGGGTTCGGACTTCGGACCCCTAAATGACAATACTTGCAGAAAAATCTGAACGCACTCCTTCCAACTTAACCTATAAAACTGATGTAGCCTAAAATTTTGATTTGTAAAATGGACCTTTGTTTTTACATTGTTAAGAAAAGTTATTAAGAAACAAGGTATGAAAAAATAATCTATATTATGGTAAAAAGATTGTAGCTGTTTATATCTACAGATTAACCAGAAATCGACGTGGACCCACTTCGAAAAGTTTTACAACATGAAATCTTTGTCTAATCTTGTTCAGAAATGCCAGACTTGTCCCTACTTCACAACATTACCGTTTTTTATGGAAAATCATGCCAAACGCAACCATTCTTTAATGCTACATTTCAGCTGTGATGACAATGTAGAAACTTATTGCTGTCAAGCTTGCAACTTCCAGACAGATTTTATTATCACTTTGAAAAAACACATTAAAGAGTGTCACCCAAGTGGAAGAAATAACCTTCAGCCAGATGTCAACTACAGCTGTAAAAATTGCAATTTCGAAACTTATACCGCAATTAAACTTCTGCAGCACAATATAACTTGTCAAGATGATCACCAACGAGCCAAGATAAAATTACACATAACTGGAAATCATTTACAAAAAATTCGCTGGTATCCATGTGGAAAATGTACTTACAAGGCGAAATCAAAAATTCATTTAAAAACACACGTCTACGTCAAACACACAGACGAAAACGACATCAAATGGCAGAAGTGTGATCATTGTTCATATGTGGCAAAAACTTTAGAACGATTAAAAATACATATAAAGCACAAACATTTGGGTGATAAAACCCAGTGGTATTATTGTGATAAATGCCTGCACAAAACCAAATATAAACGTGGAATAAAAGAGCACATGATAAGTGTACACGAGGAAAGTAAACCAGTCAAATGTAAAAAGTGTTGGCGCACTTTTAAAAATATGGACCGCTTGAGAAAACACACACTTAACATACACTTGGATGAGGACAAGATTCAGTGGCATCAGTGTGAACAATGTCCATACAAAGCTAAAATCAGGGAGAACTTGTCACGACACATACGTTATATACATAAAGATGGTAAGAAATATCGTTGTGATCACTGTACCTATAAATCACGTAGTTCGTTCATAATAAAAGAACATATGAACGCTAAACATTCACAGGACAGTGAAGTTACGTGGCATCAGTGCACAAAATGTCCACATAAATATAAAACTAGCTCAGGTTTAAGACATCACGTGCGCACTCAGCATGAAGGATTTCGTGGAAAATATCAGTGTGATCAATGTGATTTTACGACGATAACTTCGCAATCTTTAAAAGACCATATGAATAGCAAACATTTAAGTGACACTGAAGCTAAGTGGTACCAGTGTGAAGAATGTCCAGCTAAATACAAAATTAAATCGTCTTGGAAACAACACATGAACTTGAAACATCCAAGTGGTAAGACGTATCAGTGTAATCAATGTGATTATAAGTCAGGTAGTTCACAATGTTTAAAAGGCCATATAAATAGCAAACATTTATGTGACTCTGAAGCGGAGTGGTATCAGTGTGAAAAATGTCCAGTTAAATATAAAAATAAATGGACTTTGAGGCAGCACGTACGCTTGATACATCAAGGTGTTAAGAAGTTTCAGTGTGATCAGTGTGAATTTAAGTCACGTTATATTCGCTCGCTAAAAAAACATACAAGTAGCATGCACTGACAACGTCGCAGTAAAGTTAATGTAACTAAGTGAGAAGCGAGAAGTGACTTTATGAATGCAAACTAAAACAAACATTTACAAAACATTCATTTTTGTCATAGTGAGATTCAGTGAATCAGTATTGTAATAATTGACTCTCTCAAATTAATATAACTTTTATATTTACTTTTAAGTACTAGAAAGATATTTACTATTTTTGTACAAATATCCATTAAAAACATTTTGTGTATATTTTTTTTTATTTGATCTTGAGATTTATTAGAAACACATTATTATTACTAATAAATGTGTGTTTAGAAAAATCTGAACGTACCCATTCAAATTTAACCTATAAAATTTAACTGAATTAAAAATCCGGAGTTGTAAAGGCCATTTTCACAATCTATTTCCAACAAGTTTTATTCATGGTATGATAGAATGACCTATATGTTAAAAAATAATAGCTCTTTATATCTACAGGCGAATCAGAAATCAGATGTTGACGTTCACCCACTCTGAAAACTTTTACAGCATGAAATCTTTGTCTAATATTGTTCAAAGGTTTAAATTAGTTGGTTTGGTAGTTAATAAAACGGAAGAAAGCCTTTGTTTAACGACAATCAATCGTAACTGACGTCACTCTGTTGTCCCCAATCCGCGCGGTTAATTCTTGCGGCCTTTTAATCGGAAAATGCGGACTTCCGGTCAACGCGAAACATGTGCTGTAAATTTGTTTCATTGTTCGTAAATTCACCAATCAAGTTAGTTTTTCTTGATAGTCAGCTAGTGCAAACACAGCTTAACAATCAGGATTTTTTAGATAAACCACTTGCTAGAAGATTTCATGAAATTCACTTAGTTAGGAAAACACCTTATTTTTAATTACGAATAAGTTTCTGGATGCATATACGTAAGTGTTACATTATAACACTTCTAAATTCTTCACACAAGATTGCTAATAGTTCATTTACGGCAGTTAAACAAGTTCATTATACTGCGAACTGGCGGGAGGGGTTTAAAATGTTTTCTTCCCTTTGGCGGCTGTCATCGTTATTATGATTAATTTATCAAGGCATGCCCTCCCAACGCTACAGATTGATTACATCACCGAGAAGCTTTTTCCTTGCAACGATTTCCAAATTTACATCACTGAGATTTTCACTCGGAGCGACGATTGGATATTTTTGTGTTTGTTTATTATGTGTTTTGTTGGGGTAATTCGCGCGTGTTTTTTTTTTATATCTTAAGGTGTTTGAAATGTAATATGTCCGTGAGTAAAGCAAGGGGGTTTTTGCGCTGAGGAGTAAATTAGCAGGTTTTTCCCCCTGTGAGGGGGTGCCGTGGCAGCCTCTCCAACACAGTTTTGTCTATTATTTCTAGCGCTCTCAACTCACATGCAGTATATGCTCACTTGTATGAAAGAACGTCTTCCCGCCACTTTTCAAAAAAAAAAACACAACGTAGGTTCTCATTTGTTAGACGATCACAGCCAAGGCCAAACTTTGAATTTTTAAATTTTTCGCGGGCTGTTTAAACTTTTTCAAGGTCAATTTAAAGGCGGGAAGTTTTCTTTTCTTTCGTTGCTTCTCTCTTGTCTTTCGTACTCTTGCTCTTTTCCTTTGATTTTTATTTCCAGTGGCATATGGTCTGATTCTACTCTTTCCCCCACTTTGAAACTCTATTTCTTCCCACGCCTCTTCGTTGACAATCTCATGGTCTATATTTGATTCTCCCCTAGCCTCTACGTCCTACGTACGTCCATTCTCCTTCTTCATCTTCTTCCTTGTTTCCATTCAAAATTTCCCATCCCATTTCTTTTATTATCTTCCACAATATTTTCACATCTTTTTTAATTGCTTTGTGTTCTGATCCTCTTTTTTCTCCCTACTTACAAGATCAAGTATTTCACGTAAAATTTACCTATAGACGTGAATATGAATGCTTCAATCACATGTGACTAGAAAAAAATCTGAACGCACTCATTCCAACTTAACCTATAAAACTTATCTAACCTAAAAATTCCGATTTGTAAAATGAGCCCTTTCACGATTTTGTCTAAATTATGACATTGTTAGAATGTTTATTAAAAAACAAGGTATGAAAAATAATCTAAATGTTAAAAGGTTTTTATGCTTTTTTATGTCTACAGATTAACCAGGTATTGACGTGGACCCACTCTGAAAAGTTTTACAGCATGAAATCTTTGTCTAATCTTGTTCAGAAATGCCAGATTTGTCCGTACTTCACAACATTACCAGTTTTTATGGAAAATCATGCCAAACGCAACCATTCTTTAATGATACATTTCAGCTGTGATGACAATGTAGAAACTTATCGCTGTCATGACTGCAACTTCCAGACAGATTTTATCGTTACTTTGAAGAAACATATTAAAGAGTGTCACTCAAGTGAAGGAAACCACCTCCAGCCAGATATTAGTTACAGTATTCAGAATTACAGTTGTAAAAATTGCGGTTTCGAAACCCATTGCTCAATTAAACTTCTTCAACACACTATAGCTGAGCAACGAACCACCAATTTAAAGTTACACACAACTGGAAAACATTTGCGACAAGTTTATTGGTATCCATGTAAAAAATGTACTTACAAGGGCAAAAGAAAATATTATTTAAGGAGACATGTCTACATCAATCACACAGACGAAAAGGACATCAAATGGCAGAATTGTAATCATTGTTCATATGTGGCAAAAACCTTAGAACGATTAAATACACATATGAAGCACAAACATGTCACTGAAAAAACCCAGTGGTATCACTGTGACAAATGCCCACACAAAACCAAATATAAAGGTGGAATAAAACTACACATGAGAACTGTACACAATGAAAATAAACCAGTCCAATGTAAAAAGTGTTCGCGCACTTTTAAAAATGTGGACTGCTTAAAAAAACACACGCGTGTCCAGCACTCGAATATGACGGGCCAGAAGTGTGAGATGTGTCCCTACAGGACATTACATCCAAGGGATTTAAAAACTCATATAATTAACAAACACTTAGACGACAGCCAGATTTACTGGCATCAATGTGAACAATGTCCATACAAAAGTAAAACCAGATTGGTTTTAAAAAAACACGTACGTGATATACACCAAGATGGTAAAAAACATACTTGTGATCACTGTACATTTAAAACCTCTAATTCGTTCATATTAAAAGACCATATAAACACCAAACATTCTCAGGGCAGTGAAATTAAGTGGTATAAGTGCACAAAATGTCCATATAAAAGTAAAACCAACACATCTTTAAGGCTTCACGTGAGGCTGCATCATGAAAACAAGGAGAAATATCAGTGTGATCAGTGCGATTATACGACACTTTATTCAAATTGTTTAAATCACCACGTGAAATACAAACATTCCGGTGAAGTTAAGTGGTATCAGTGTAAAAACTGTCCATGTAAATATAAATATAAATCGTCTTTGCTAGACCATATGTGTGCAAAACATCAAGGTGGCAAGAAATATAAGTGTGATCAGTGTGAATTCAAGTCACATTATGCCAAATCTCTAAGAGAACATATGGATAACAGACATTTCCAACAAATCAGTGGAGTTAAGACGTATCAGTGCGACAAGTGCCCTTATCAATCCAATTTAAAATACTCGTTCAATAAACATTTACAAAACAACCATTTTAGCAATAATGACATTCAGTGGATCAGTACGATTATGAATATGTAGACATAAAATAATAACATAATGTAATAATTAAAAAAAAAAAATTATATTTATTTTTTAGTGGTAGAAACATATTTACAATTTTTATAGAAATTATACGTATAAAACATTCTGTGTATTTTTGGTTGCATATTATCCGTTCACGATCTTTATATAGTAGCGTTGGCCATGAAAATCTAGTGAGTTTGTTGGTATTCGATGCAGATGAATAAAAATTCCCTGAACTTTTTTCGTTAGGTTATGTTCCGTAGAGGAATTAGAAAGAAAATTACATAAAATGAGTACTAAACGCAAAGAATACGAAAGAAAACAGCGAAAACGCTAAAAAATAAAAAAATTGACAGAAGAAAATGGGATGACTAAAACCAAGTCAAGGTTTTAATTATATATTTTCAATTATATTGACTGAACACCTCAATGTATCAAGCGTATGTGCTGCCTCAAAGACAATTTATTTTTATGTTTAAATGGACATTTTTCGCACTGATACCACTCAGCTTCAGTGTCACATAAATGTTTGCAATTTATATGGTCTTTTAAACATTGCGAACTACCTGACTTAAAATCACACTGATCACACTTATACCTTCCACGGAATTCCTCATGCTGCACGCGCAGGTGCTGTCTTAAACTTGAGTTAGATTTATATTTTTGAGAACACTTTGTGCACTGATACCACTTAATTTCACTGCCTTGTGAATGTTTGGTGTTTATATGGTCTACTAATCTCAACGAACTACGTGATTTAAATGTACAGTGATCACAGCGATATTTCTTACCATCTTGATGTATTTCACGTACGTGTTGTCTAAAAACCAATCTGGTTTTAGTTTTGTATGGACATTGTTCACATTGATGCCACTGAATCTGGCTGTCGTCCAAGTGTTTGTTAATTACATGAGCTTTTAAATCCTTTGGACGTAATGTCCTGTAAGGACACTTCTCACACTTGAGGCCCTGCAAATTCATGTGCATGAGACGCGTGTGAGTTCTTAAGCCAGTCATACTTTTAAAAGCGCGTGAACACTTTTCGCATTGTACTGGTTTTTGTTCACTGTGTACATTTCTCATGTGCATTTTTATTCCATGTTTATATTTGGTTCTGTGCGGGCATTTCTCACAGTGATACCACTGGGTTTTATCACCCAAATGTTGGTGCTTTATATGACGTTTTAAATGTTCTGAGGTTTTTGCCATATGTGGACAATGATTACACTTCTGCCATTTGATGTCGTTTTCGTCTGTGTGTTTGGCGTAGACGTGTTTTCTTAAATGAACTTTTGATTTGGCCTTGTAAGTACATTTTTCACATGGATACCAGCAAACTTTTTGTAAATGTGTTCCAGTTTTGTGTAATTTTAAATTGGGTGTTGGTTGCTGAGCATCTTGACAAGCTGTATTGTGCTGGAGAAATTTAATCGAAGAATGGGTTTCTAGATCGCAATTTTTACAACTGTAATTCTGAATACTGTAATTGATATCTGGCTGGAGGTTGTTCGTTCCACTTGGGTGACACTCTTTAACATGTTTCTTCAAAGTAATGATAAAATCTGTCTGGAAGTTGCAGTCATGACAGCGATAAGTTTCTACATTGTCATCACAGCTGAAATGTATCATTAAAGAATGGTTGCGTTTGGAATGACTTTCCATAAAAAGCGGTAAGGTTGTGAAGAACGAACACATCTGGCATTTATGAACAATATTAGATAGAGATTTCATGCTGTAAAACTTTTCAGATTGGGTCCACATCGATGTCTGGTTAATCTGTAGACAGAAAAAGGCATAAAAACCTTTTAACATTTAGATTATTTTTTCATACCTTGTTTTTTAATAAACATTCTTAATAATGTTATAATTCAAACAAAATCGTGAAAGGGCTCATTTTACAAATTGGAATTTTTAGGTTAGATAAGTTTTATAGGTTAAGTTGGAATGAGTGCGTTCAGAAAATTTAAATAGTGGAAAATCAAAACAAAGTCAGACCTACTGTGGTCAGACCATGGCCACAGTAGGTCAAAACTTTAGCAATATTTGCGGAATGGGTGTGACCTTGGGAGCCCGTTCCCGGGAAACACCAAGATTCAAATATTTCGTAGCATTCGATTGTCAATTTTTTTCTTTCTTATAAATTATTAATATATTCAAGCAAAACATTTTTATTCAATTTTGACGTTTTAAACTGCGTTTATTAAGTCCTTAACAAGTCTGACAAATAAGTTGTTATCCACAAGTGAATTGCAAAATTTTTAATTCACTCTTAACATTTTTAAATCACTCACAAAAAAAATAAAAAACAACTTCAGGAACATAAACATTTTGCTTATTATTTTTAATAGTGTTCACAGAATACAATTTGTTTACAATTTTCACTAAAAGGTTGCTGCAACTAAATCAGTATTGTTTGACATATTTGTTTGGCTCTGTGAGGCGTCAATTTGGGAATTGTATAAATTCCACACCAATAGAATTCCAAAGAACGTTTCGAAAACTATTTACTACAGATTATTTCGATACAAGTGCAAGAACCAACTGTGAAACACTATTTTATTTGAAATGAAAAATTTGCCAAGATGTTCTTTTAAACAAACTTCCACAACACATCTTCCCTGTATTCTGGCCTCTTCAACAACCATTAAGTGATGTGAGTTACCGGAAACTCACCTTGACAGAACACAACTGTTTATGGTATGTTTGTGGATACTCATTAATACGAAAATTTTTACACCACCACTTCTGCGAAGTTTGTGTGAACTTTGCACATTCTTACGAAGTGGTACATCCTGTTTTAATTGTGTGCCATTTTAAAGTCTTCAGTGAAGATGTGATTTTTGGCGATATAATGATGCCACCTGAACATTTTGCGGTTTATACTCCGGTAATGGGTAATACATTTTGTGAGTTTTTCCCAATTTATGCACCGTAGTCGTTAACTGGTTTGCGGCTAAAAAACGAACCATAAAAAAATACCATTCCACCACCCCTGCAAAGACTTTCCTCTTGATTACTTCGTTTCACTTTTTATTAGAATAATTAGAATTTAAATAAATCTTGGACCGCTCAAACACGCACGAAAATTAAACCATTTCGTTTAACCTGCAGATTGTTGACCCTCTTTAGCCTGTAATTTTCAAGTATTTTTTACATGTATCGTAACTATCTATTACTTTGTTAAAATAAATTTTACGTTTGTTTTTAACTCCATAACACAACATCCCGTATGATCCCGTAATTAATATGACATTTCTTGTTGACAAAACCAGATAAAATGATCACCGAAAACCTTAAAATGAAAAAGAAACTATGTTCTTCAAGGTCGGAGCACCTTTAGAGACGCTAGTGACCTCTTTATATCGTTCCGTAAGCTCCCCATGTATTTCTTACGGGATCAACTGAAGCTATCATAGCCCTGATAATACTTTCTGAATGCTCATCTTAAGACAAACTTCCATAAATCTGTCACAAGGTTTTGGATTAGAAAGTAGTTGGTGTCGGTGTTTTGAAGAGGGCCGTTTCCAGGTATCCACCGAATTTGGGGATAAGTCCTTTATGATAGGGATTTACTCTGTGACTTCTTGGAAAATCCCATTTACCTGTCCCATTCTTGTGAAAATAACTGATAACGGTAACTAGTGCTTTGACAACATATTTTTAAAAACAATTGAGATTGGTCAATAGTCATTGTTTTATTTTTTAATTCGAACAAGACTAGGTCAATAATAATTAGGTTATTTTCGGAATCATTTTTTTGGAGATGATTGGGTTCGGATCCCTAAATGACAATACTTGTAGAAAAATCTGAACGCACTCCTTCCAACTTAACCTATAAAACTGATGTAGCCTAAAATTTTGATTTTTAAAATGGACCTTTGTTTTTACATTGTTAAGAAAAGTTATTAAGAAACAAGGTATGAAAAAATAATCTATATTATGTTAAAAAGATTGTAGCTGTTTATATGTACAGATTAACCAGATATCGACGTGGACCCACTGTGAAAAGTTTTACAACATGAAAACTTTGTCTAATCTTGTCCAGAAATGCCAGACTTGCCCCTACTTCACAACATTACCCCTTTTTATGGAAAATCATGCCAAACGTAACCATTCTTTAATGATACACTTCAGCTGTGATGACAATGTAGAAACTTATTGCTGTCATGACTGCAACTTCCAGACAGATTTTATCGTCACTTTGAAGAAACACATTAAAGAGTGTCATCCAAGTGAAAAAAACAACCTCCAGTCAGATATTAATTACAGTAGTCAGAACTACAGTTGTGAAAATTGCGATTTCGAAACCTATACCTCAATTAAACTTCTTCAGCACACTACAGCTTGTCAAGATGCTCAGCAACGAACTGGAAAACCTTTACAGAAAATTTTCTGGCATCCATGTGAAAAATGTACTTACAAAGGCAGAAAAAAAAGCCATTTAAAAAACCACGTCTATGCCAAACACACAGACGAAAAGGACATTAAATGGCAGAAGTGTGATTATTGTTCATATGTGACAATAACCTTAGAACGATTAAGAACACATATAAAGCACAAACATTTGGGTGATAAAACCCAGTGGTATTATTGTCATAAATGCCCGCACAAAACCAAATATAAACATGGATTAAGAAGACACATGACAAATGTACACGATGAATATAAACCATTTCAATGGACGAGAACCCAGTTTCAGTGGCATGAATGTGAGCAATGTCCATACAAAGCTAAAACCAAATCAACCTTGTTACAACACGTAAATGATATACATAAAGATGGTAAGAAATATCGTTGTGATCATTGTACATATAAATCACGCAGCGCGTTCGAAGTAGAAGAGCATATGAACACTAAACATTCACAGGGCAGTGAAGTTAAGTGGTATCAGTGCACAAAATGTCCTCAAAAATATAAAACTAATGGAGGTTTAAGCCTTCACCTGCGCCTGCAGCATGAAGCATTCCGTGGGAAGTATCAGTGTGAACAATGTGATTATAAGTCAGGTAGTTCGCAAAGTTTAAAAGACCATATAAACTGCAAACATTTAAGTGACAGTGAAGCTGAGTGGTACCGGTGTGAAAAATGTCCATTTAAATATAAAACTAAATCGTCTTTGAGACACCACAAGCACGATAAACATCTGAGTGGGAACAGGTATCAGTGTGACCAATGTGATTATAATGCACGTAAATTGCAACGTTTAAAAGACCATATAAGTAGCAAACATTTAAGTAACACTGAAGTTCAGTGGTACCAGTGTGAAGAATGTCCAGCTAAATATAAAAATAAATCGTCTTGGAGGCACCACATGAACTTGAAACATGTAAATGTTAACAAGTATCAGTGTGATCAATGTGATTATAAGGCGAATTATTCGCAGCGTTTGAAAGACCATATAAATAGCAAACATTTGTCTGACACTGAAGCTAAGTGGTATAAGTGTGAAGAATGCCCACTTAAATATAAAAATAAATGGTCCTTGAAGAAGCACATACACATGATACATCGAGGTGGTAAGAAATTTCAGTGTGATCAGTGATATAACTAATACACATTGACAACGTCACAGAAAAGTTAATACGTTATTGATATAACTAAGTGCGAGAAGTGATCTTCATTTTGTGATAATGGGATATTGTTATTAAAAACGTAATGTAATAATTCATTCTCTCAAATTAATATAACTTTTATATTTATTTTTAAGTGCTTGAAACATACTTACTATTATCCATTCACGATCTTTATATAGTAGGGTTGACCATGAAACTCTAGTGAGTTTGTTGGTATTCGATGCAGAAAAATAAAAATTCTCTGAACTTTTTTCGTTAGGTTATGTTTCATTAAATTAAAGGTTAAAAATTATGCCAGAAATACAAACATTGTTGCCGATACTTTCAGTTTTCAGTAGCAATTACCAAGTTAACGGTATCCATTTCTTAGAAAGCAGAAAACTTTACGCTATTTAAAACAGTTATTCGGCTTTTTGTAAGTGTTTATTTCATATGTAAAGGCCGTGTGACACGATGCTAAATTTATGACAAATTTTAGCGAGATAAATTTTGTGCAAAAAATTGTACCGTGTCATACACAATTTACATGCTAAATTTGTGTGCAAACTTTGGTGTGAAATTATTTAGGACATGAGTGGTTTGTTTATGTACTGACTAAATTTGTTACGAAAACTGCGCAGTACGATAAGGCGCAACCGGTACGACGCCATGATGAAATCAACATAACCAAACAGTTCTTTTGCCCACAAATTGAGCACCCGTTAATCTCAAAAAATTTTGATATGCAATTGGATCTTCTGGCAACAACTCGGTATTTAACATGTTTAAAATATCTCGTCCTTCTTGTCGCCTTGTTAACCAAGGTCTGCTCCATAGTGAACGTCGTTTTCTTCTTTGAATTTTCCGATTTGTTTTATTGGCATAGCAGCTTAGAACAATACTCGAAGCAGCAATAGTTGTATAAACAAGTATTTCCTCACAATTCATTATAAATGATTAATAAGTAAATAATAAACAAACAAATTGTAGGTTATGTCACAGAGGTTATGTTGAAAAACGCACCTTACCAATCACCATTACCAACACTATTTCTTAAATTCCCGAAAATTTTCACTCACTACGCATGCGCGAATGGTAAATTTACAAGAGAATTTAGTAAGGTGGCATACAGGAGATATATTGTTTAGTTGTAAATTTAGTTACATTTTTTCGAACTAAATTTCCTACAAAAATTTGTCATAAATTTAGCATCGTGTCACACGGCCTTAAGGAACAAACACTAAAATTTTATTTAAACATTGTTTTTATATGAATGGGGGTTCTACATACGACTATTGTGGCATGCCACATTTAGCATCTCATGTTTAATTCTCAATCATCAGTTCGTTCTGCTCGCCCACTCTTCTTGGAAATGGAAATTTCGACCTTTGTGAACAGCCTATTTCCATATCTTCCAACTTCTTTTTTCACTTTTCTAAGATTACTAAAAGGGTTGGTAAAAGACAACAACCTTGCTCTAGTGCTTTGATGGGTTTAGCTCTTCTGAAACATTTTTTCGGCCTTAATTCGAATGATTTATCTATATGGCTATTACTAATGCTTACGTAAGTGCTCTTTATTTGCTTTTACTAAGTACTTCCAAACGCTTATTAATAAGAACGTTACTATACGCCTTCTCCAGGTCCATGAAGAGTTACAAAAACAATGAAAATGCTTAAAATTTGGTGCAAAGTAACAACGTAGATGATCTAACTAAAATTATACTTATTTTGTTGTACGTCAGGTAGTTTTTCACATACTATAGGTAAATTTAGAACGAAAGATGCGTAAAAATATCACCCCCCGACAAGCTACAATTCACTCCATTTCCATTATTTCCCTATGAAAATCTGTATCATCACCGTCATTTTCAAATTCAGATTCTGAATCAGATTCACCTAGCGAAATAATGAAAGGAGGTATAGATTAGTACGAAAGATTTCCCATATTTTTTCCCAATCTGCTAAAATAAGTTTTTCACAATGTTTACAAAAATTTTGCCACATGCTTGGAGTACATTTAGACAGCGCCTCAAGCCATAAATTCTCCACCCTATTTTTTAATGAAGGTTGAGAATTATATGCTTGTTGTAATAGTTCTTACAAAATCCCCATGCCATTTCAAATGGATTATATTGACAATGGTATGGAGGTAATCTAAGAACTTCATGGCCACTTTCTCTTAATGTCTCGTCTACCAAATATCTTTTTTTTTTCTATTGTTTCTGGAGGGTTTAATTAAATCCCACAACTGTTTCTTCGACATTTTATTGTCAAATTTAACACTAAGTTTAAAGAATCATTCCTGCATTTCACATTTTTTACTAGAAAAAGTGGGTGGTTTATCCAACTGAACCGAATAATACGGTGCATATTGTCTAAAACCACCACACATTTTTTATTCAACTTTGCCAAAGCAGGAATGAGCTGATTAACCACCCTATTTTGAAAAATTGTTCCGTCCATCGTTTTATGATAGTCTCTATCGTTATTTTTTGAATTTAAAAAATTGTTACAACCATCCAAGAACCCCGTTGAACAACCCGCGTGGAGAATAGTAAACCTTGATCCTTCACTTTTAATTTTGGTGGGATTGCTTTTTAGATCAGTATCGTGCACCTAGCGACGAATGGACGAACCATTTTGATAGATCCATGTTTCATCCAAATACACGAAAGTCAAATTTTCACAAGAATTTAGAAACTGTAAATATGTTCTCAAAAAAGTAACGATATGTTTTTGTTCAAGTAGAATTTTGCGACCATTTACTTCCCTGTGTTTATAGCCCATTGACTTAAGAATTTTGTATAATGTGATTCGCCCCCCTTTAAATTCCAACTGTTCCCTAGAATATGCCAAAAGAGTATCTACAGTGAAATATTCGTTTTTTTCATTAAGTTGCCAAATTTGTCGTTGCAGGTCTTTCCGAAACATATAATTTGTAAATAAATCCGTTGGTTTTCGCTTGCCAGATAGTGATGTTTTTAAATTTTGCTCCCCTGTTGATAAAATTTTCGCCACAGTTGATGTTCCCACCTATGAGAAAAAAAATTAAAAAATATTTTACAGCGTATTTTTACATTACAGAAAATATGTTCGAGACCCTCCTAGTTACTTAGTCCAAAGAAAGATCGGGTCTGTCTTTTCGAAACTGCAAAAAACCATTTTTTTTAAATATGTTGGTAGAAAAAAATCTGAACGCACTCCTTCCAAATTAACCTATAAAATTTATTTAACCTATAAATCCCGATGTGTACTTAAAGTCACTTTTGCGATCTAATCCACATTAAGAAGACTTATTTAAAAACAAGGTATGAAAAAATAATCTACTAGTTAAAAGGTTACAGCTCTTTATGTCTACAGATTAACCAGATATCGACGTGGACCCACTCTGAAAAGTTTTACAACATGAAATCTGTGTCTAGTATTGTCCAGAAATGCCAGACTTGTCCCTACTTCACAACATTACCGCGTTTAATGGAAAATCATGCCAAACGCAACCATTCTTTAATGATACATTTCAGCTGTGATGACAATGTAGAAACTTATCGCTGTCATGACTGCAACTTCCAGACAGATTTTATTGTCACTTTGAAGAAACACATTAAAGAGTGTCACCCAAGTGGAAGAAACAACCTCCAGCCAAATATCAATTACACTATTCAAAACTACAGTTGCATAAATTGCGATTTCGAAACTTATACTTCAATTAAACTTCTTCACCACAGTACAGCTTGTGAAGATCCTCAGCAACCAACCACCAGTTTAAAATCACACACAACTGGAAAAGATCCGCAAAATATTTACTGGTATCCATGTAGAAAATGCACTTTCAAGACCAAATCAAAAGCTTATTTAAGGAAACATATCTACACCAAACACTTAGACGAAAAGTTCATCAAATGGCACAAGTGTGATCATTGTTCATATGTGGCAAAAACCGTAGAACAGTTAAAATCACATACAAAGCGCACACATTTGGGTGATGAAACCCAGTGGTATCACTGTGATAAATGCCCGCACAAAAGCAAATATAAGACTTCAATAAAAAACCACATGAGATATGTACACAATGAAAATAAACGAGTTGAATGTGATAAGTGCCCGCGCACTTTTAAAAATAGGGACTCCTTGAAAAGACACACAATTAACAAACACCTGGACGAGAACGAGATTCAGTGGCAGCAGTGTGAACAATGTCCATACAAAGCTAAAGTCAGGTCTAACTTGTTACGACACATAAGTGTTGTACATCAAGACGTTAAGAAATATCGTTGTGATCACTGTACATATAAATCACGTAGTTCGTTCACACTAAAAGAGCATATGAACGCTATACATTCACAGGGCAGTGAAGTCAAGTGGTATCAGTGCACAAAATGTCCACATAAATATAAAACCTACTCAGGTTTAAGGCGCCACCGGCGCATGGAGCATGGAGAATTCTCTGGAAAGTATCAGTGCGATCAATGTAATTTTAAGACAACAAGTACACAAACTTTAAGAGACCATAAGGGTAGCAAACATTTAAGTGACACTGAAGCTGAGTGGTACCGGTGTGAAGAATGTCCAGCTAAATATAAAATTAAAGCGTCTTGGAGACACCACGTGAAGAGCAAACATGCAAATCGAGTTGAAGACACTTTGAATGTTTCTGAGCTAAACGTAAAAATGTTCTTAGCTTTAAAATCACTTCCTCCTTTTGACTAAGCTGTTGTAAAGATCGTACCTAGTAGACAATACGACCTAATTTCGGTAAAGTTATATGCAATATGATGGATTTAACTCATTTTGTTGCATTGGCTTATATTTGGACTGCTTTTTGAAAATAACGTTTAGCGTGATTCCGAGCTTGCCAATGAATTTAAGTCACCTCTAAAATACCTGGACACGACTGAACTCATTTTGCATGTTTGCTCCTCCCATGCACTTGATACATCAAAGTGTTAGAAGTTTCAGAGTGTGAATTTAAGTCACGTTATATTAACTCTAAAAAAACATATAAGTAACACACATTGACAACGTCGGAGTAAAGTTAATACGTTGATATAACTAACTTGCGAGAAGTGACCTTATGAATGCAAATTGAAACAAACGTTTACAAAACATTCATTTTTTTGATAACGAGATTGAGTGGATCAGTATGGTTATGAATATGTAGAAATGAAATGATGAGGTGTTGTTATTAAAAACGTAATGTAATACTTGATTCTTTCAAATTAATATAACTTTTATATTTATTTTTAAGTACTAGAAACATATTTACTATTTTTGTAGAAATCTCCATTAAAAACATGTTATGTATTATTATTATTATTATTATTATATTTGGTTAGGTGTTGACTATAACAGAGTGCGTCACGAACTACCAACAACTAGAGACCCTAAATAAGATATATATTTAGGGTCTCTACCAACAACTTAATTATGACTCTTGCTGAAAATATGGTACCTATATATTTTACATATTATAATTAACGAGTGATGACTAGAAAATCATAATCAAATAACTTTGTTTGCAACTTGTATAGGTAATAATGTAATAACCATAACAATCAGTTGTCATTAATCGTTGTGCATTATTATTAATAAAATAAGATCCCAGTGGAGTTAAGATGTATCAGTGCGAGAAGTGTCCTTATCAATGCACTGAAAAATGGACGTTAAACAGTTCGGTGGTCAGTACGATTAGGAATATGTAGACGTAAAATGATAAGATATTGTACTTAATAAAAACATATTGTAACAATTCATTCCTATTTATTTTGTGTATTTTTGGTTGCATATGCTGACAAAAACAGAGTGCGTTAACGAAACTGCAACTCTTGTTGAGCATTGCCGTAGAAAACTAGATGCACAATATCACGTAAAATTTGAGACGGCTTTACAGTTATAATTAGGGTATTTTCGGATAATAGTTATTTTTCTAGAAATGTTTGGGTTTGGACCCTTAAATGCTTCAATGACAATGCTGGTAGAAAAAAATCTGAACGCACTCATTCCTATTTAACCTATAAAATTTACCTAACCTAAAAATCTCGATTTGGAAAGTCGCCTTCACAATCTAATCGATATTAAGAATGGTTATTAAAAAACATGGTATGAAAAAATATTCTCTATGTTAAAAGGTTATAGCTCTTTATGTCTACAGATTAACCAGGTATCGACGTGAACCCCCTTTGAAAAGTTTCATAACATGAAATCTTTGTCTACTATGGTTCAGAAATGCCAGACTTGTCCCTACTTCACAACATTACCGCGTTTAATGGAAAATCATGCCAAACGCAACCATTCTTTAATGATACATTTCAGCTGTGATGACAATGTAGAAACTTACTGCTGTCACAACTGCAACTTCCAGACAGATTTTATTATCACTTTGAAGAAACACATTAAAGAGTGTCACCCAAGTGAAAAAAACAACCTCCAGCTAGATACCAGTTACAGTATTCAAAGTTATAGTTGTAAAAATTGCGATTTCGAAACTTATACCTCACTTAAACTTCTTCAGCACACTATAGCTTGTCAAGATGCTCAGCCACTAACAACCAGTTTAAAATTACACACAACTAGAAAACATTTGCAAGGAGTTTGCTGGTACCCCTGTCAAAAATGTACTTACAGGGCCAAAGACAAATCAAATTTAAGGAAGCATGTCTACGCCAAACACACAGACAAAAACGACATCAAATGGCACAAGTGTAATCATTGTTCATATGTGACAATAATCTTAGATCGATTAAGAACACATATAAAGCACAAACATTTGGGTGATAAAACCCAGTGGTATTATTGTGATAAATGCCCGCATAAAACCAAATACAAACATGGAATAAGACTACACATGACAAATGTGCACGATGAAAATAAACCGTTCCAATGTAAAAAGTGTTCGCGCACTTTTAAACATATGGACCGCTTGAGAAGACACACAATTAACATACACTTGGACGAGGACAAGATTCAGTGGCATCAATGTGAACAATGTCCATACAAAGCTAAAACCAGGTCGACCTTGTTAAAACACATAAATGATATACATAAAGATGGTAAGAAATATCGTTGTGATCACTGTACATATAAAGGACGTACTTCGTTCGAAGTAGCAGAGCATATAAACACTAAACATTCACAGGGCAGTGAAGTTAAGTGGTACCAGTGTACAAAATGTCTTCAAAAATATAAAACTAAAGCAGGTTTAAGCTGTCACGTGCGCATGCAGCATGAAGGATTCCGTGGAAAGTATCAGTGTGAACAATGTGATTTTAAGTCATCTAGTTTGCAAAGTTTAAAAGACCATATAAATTGCAAACATTTAAGTGACACTGAGGTTGAGTGGTACCAGTGTGAAAAATGTCCAGTTAAATATAAAACTAAATCGTCTTTGAGAGACCACATGCACGAGAAACATCTCAGTGGGGACAGGTATCGGTGTGATCAGTGTGGTTATAATGCACGTAAATCGCAACGTTTAAAAGACCATATAAATAGCAAACATTTAAGTAACACTGAAGTTGAGTGGTACCGGTGTGAAGAATGTCCAGCTAAATATAAAAATAAGACGTCTTGGAGACACCACATGAATTTGAAACATCCAAGTGGTAACAAGTATCAGTGTGATCAATGTGATTATAAGGCGAATTATACGCAGTGTTTAAAAGACCATATAAATAGTAAACATTGATCTGACACTGAAGCTGAGTGGTATCAGTGTGAGAAATGTCCATTTAAATATAAAAATAAATGCTCTTTGAGGGAACACAGACGCCTGATACATCGAGGTGTTAAGAAGTTTCAGTGTGATCAGTGTGAATTTAAGTCACGTTATAGCGGCCCTCTAGAAAAACATATAACTCGCACTCATTGATAACGTTCCAGTAAAGTTAATACGTTATTGATATAATTAACGTGCAAGAAGTGATCTTATGAATGCAATTAAAACAAAAAAATTAATATATAGAAATGAAATGATGAGGTGTTGTTATTAAAAACGTAATGTAATAAGTCATTCTCTCAAATTAATAGAAGTTTTATATTTATTTTTAAGCACTAGAAATATATTTACTATTTTTGTAGTAGTTAATTCTTGCGTTTTTTTCCAAACGAAAATAAGTGAATTTTTCGACCAACGCTAACACGTTGTGTAAATTTGTGTTATTATTTGTAAATGCACCGTGCATGTTGGGAGTTTAATCGTTAACTAGTTCAAATACAGCTTAACAATCGGGAATTTATTTATATGGAGCATTTACTACGAGATTTCATGAAATTCACTTAGTCAGGATAACACCCTTTGTTTAAAAAGTTATGAATAAGTTTCTGGATGGTTTTACTTAAGTGTTACATTATAACACTTCTTAATTTCTCAAACAAGATTGTTAATAGTTTATTTACGGCAGTTAAATTAACATAACGTTGCCCCATTCTGTGAAAAGACCGTGAAAGTGTGGTAGAATTCATAATATCGTGAACTGAGGTACGAAGGATTATAATTTTTCCCTTTAGATAGTTATCATCGTTATTATCATCATCACATCACCGAGATATCTTTCTCGCAACGTAGAAAGCTATATCACCGAGATAATTTTCTCGCAACGTGGATAATTACATCACCGAGGAGCTTTCCTCGCAACGCCTGAAACATTTTGTGTTGTTTATTTATCATGTGTTTTGTCTGGGATAAGCTGGGACAGTTCACGTTATAAACTCTCATAGCTAATAGTTTAAAGTAACCAATCACTTGGATCAAGACATAATTTAACGTAATGTAAATTGTTTGTTTGAATCGTTGATAAAGTGTGGCATAATTTAACATTGTGAGTCATGGGGGACGTGCATTTTATTCCTTGGATTTAGACCATTATTTGTACAGCGTCAGAGGATAGATCACATTTCTAGGAGACATATTTTTGACTCGTTTTTTTAACGACGCGTTCGTCCGATGCCATTTTGAACCTCCAGATTGCCTGCCATATTTATGTGTTTAGGAAATGTAAAACGATGACAATGCAGCTGAATAAGTTCACTTTTAAAAATTAACCGATAACTCTAATCGACATAAAATATTAACCTCATGTAAAATTGTTAGCTTTGCAATTTTTCTTTATCTCACAATTTTAACTTTAGTAATTTTCTTGTTGTATAACTTAAATTGAACGTAAATTTTCATGCTCTGCAGTTTCTAACCTCACGTAAATTTTTGTCTGCACAAGTTTTCTTTCACACCAGTTCTTTTGTATTTGCTAGTTTTTATTGTTTTGTAAATATTTTGTTGATTAATTCTTCCATCATATAAATTGTCCGTTCAATTTTATTAATCTCAGATAAGAATTCTTTGCTGTTTAAAAGTTTCACGAGAGATTAGGGTGAATTTAAATGTTGTTTATTGCTCTTTTTGAAACTTTAATACTTGTTCAGTTGTAGTTTAATGTCAGAGTTATAGAAATTCAACATTTAAATGGAATTGAGGTTAAATAATACGAAACACGTAGCAGACGCGGAGTGCGCGGTTCCCTGTCGCGCTGGCGGCCGCAATATCTGCACAAAAGATGCAGGTCTTAAATAGAAGTCAGGGACTGTCGGGATAACGTGACGCTGTCGACTTTGCCCAGTAGTCGAGACCTAACCACGAGTTTCCGACCGTTGTTACGCAACATTTATTGTCATGCAGATCTATAACTCCCGATACGTTAGATAGAATTCGTAGAAATTTTGCAAGCATTTTGAACTTTTATTATAAATTCGTTTTCGTTGTATTCTGAACCATTAATAAATTGAGTGTTAATTTTTTCAATTTTGTCATTATTTCGCATTGACATCTTTGTCATCTTTTTCTGTGATTGCTATGATTGCTTATTCAAAAAAAAATTAAATTGGACGAAGTCGTCTCTGAGTTGTATAATATATTGCCTATGAAAAATTGTCAGGCGCGAACAAATAATAATGAACAACCTGTATATGCAACATCAAGCATATCACGTAAAATTTGAGACAAGTTTATAGTTGTAATTAGGTTATTTTCGGAAAATAGACATTCTCTTGAGATGTTTGGGTTCGGACCTCTAGATGTGAATGCTTCAATCACGATGTTTACAAAAAAATCTGAACGCACTCAGTCCAATTTAACCTATAAAATTTACCTAACCTAAAAATCCTGATTTGTAAAGTCGCTTGCACAATCAAGAATGGTTATTAAAAAACATGGTATGGAAAAATAATCTACATGTTGAAAGGTACAGATTTATGTCTACAGATTAACCAGATGTCGACGTAGACCCACTCTGAAAAGTTTTACAACATGAAATCTTTATCTAATATTGTTCAGAAATGCCAGATTTGTCCCTACTCACGGCTGTAGAATATAAGGTTGGTACACTAAGGGAAATTTGGTGGAATAAAATTTGGGGGTCCTAGGCGGCTTTGGCGCGCTTTAGATCGTTTCGCCATCTGTGAATTACGATTACACACTAACATCTTTATGAATGAAATTTTCCACTACTGCAATACTGCAATGGCAAATTGACAACTGACAGGCTGCCAAAACTGTCATTCTACTTCTAGTTGATGTATTATGATAGAAATTACTGTTTAAATTGGTTTAACGAGATCGCCAACTCAGAGAGAAACGTACATTTTATACATAACAAACCTCGGCAACCGCAGGTTTGTTCGATATTTCTAGCACTATTGTTTCATGTAAACAATCATTAAACAAGCATGTGCGATGACCAGATAAACACAGATTCCTTCGAAAAACAAGTTGACAATGTACTGGTTAAGAACTTTTCGGTAATTGATTACATTAGCCACCGCGATTTTGCCGAATCCGCCCCCACAAAAACCTCATACAACACCCCTGATCACGTTCCTACCTAACCTTCAAATGTTGTACAAACATTTCTCATAACATTTGAAGAGTAGGAACGCGATCAGGGCAGGGGCGTTGTATGAGGGTTCTGCAAAAACGGTTTCAGAGAAGTCGCATAGTAGCTAGTGTAAACAATGGTCAAAGACGCTTCCAAAAGATTGAACGTTTAACATAAAAATTATTATTAAATGCTTTGATTAAATGTCAAAGTTGTCATTTATGTCGGTAAAATCGTGTCCTTTTGATGTGGCAAAAGTTAATGCCTCTAAATACCGTAAGAGGGACCCATTCGATAACGCGCGTTAGAGTCCCTGTAGAGAGAGTACCGCAATTGCTTTACTCACTACCTTGGAGGTAAAATGGCGGCTCGGCATCAGCTGAAATAACGTTAGTTTTGATTGTTGTTTTTTTTTTTGAACAAAAACAAGAGCTGGAATGTGTGTATAGTGCGTGTAAATATCTGTATATATTATATAAAGTGGGATTTTATAAGTGAACAATGCCGGGTTGTTGTATCGCCAACTGTAACAATAGGAGTGAAAAAGGTTTTCGACTTTTTAGTTTGCCGAGTGGAAAAAAAAGTGCTAACAGGAAGAATGCTTGGATAAAATTCATCAATAGAAAAAATTTGCCCGCAAGAGCAAGTGTTTGTGAGGTGAGTATTTTGTTTAGAATTGAACGTATTGAGGTTATGTAACCAGGTGTTCCCAATTTTTTATTTTCGATGAGGTTGAGGTTGTTCATAATACTGGGTAACATGTAATTATTGTTAAAGGCTCATTTTGAAGAAACACAGTTTGAAACGCAGAGAACAGATGGCCGAAGGCTGTTGAAGTGGAATGCTGTTCCCACCTTGAAATGTAAAATTCCAGAAAGTGCCCAGATTTATTCGATAGACACAGAAGGACCTTTGGGTAAGTTTCTTATTAAACATTCAAAAATAGGTTTTTTTTTAACTTGGTTTATTCTATAGTTACTGAAGATGTAAACAATGAACTGGAAAACTCTACGCAAAAAAGTCCAAATACAGCTGAGTCCACAGCAGGAGATTTAAATTTTGTAACTAATTTACAATTTCAACGTCTGAAGAATGAACTGCAAGCTGCACAACACAAAATTCGGCAATTGGAGAAGAAAATTAACAATCTCAAAGGAAATTTTAAAAAAGCGTTTAGTGAGGACCAAGTACATTATCTTGAAATGGGAGGCCACAGAGGTGTGGAATGGTCTGATGAGTCAATAAATAAGGCACTTCGCTTATATATGGCCTGTGGGGCCAAAGGATATGAGGAAGTGAAAAGACAGAACTTGCCATACCCCAGTATCCGAACATTACAGCATCGGATTAGAGGTATAAAATTTGGTGGTGGTGTTTTAGAAGATATGTTTAACCTCCTGGCTGTAAAAGTAAATATCTGATTAAAATAAAGGGTGTCATGTGAAACAGTGCCAATCCACATTGTCCAATTTCAACATGTCTCCTTTTCTGTTGGTTATCTATTTCTAATGGTTTTAATGTTTGTTGTAGGTCCGGACATTTAAACCAATAGAGACGCAGGCAGTACTGTTGCTAGATGAAATGGCGATACAACCTGGACTCCAATACGACAACAGTCTAAAAAAAATAGTAGGAAGGCCCACAATGCCATTATCAGGTAATCGGGACAGCTCCAACGAACTGGCGACACATGCCTTGGTATTCATGCTAGGAGGCATGACAACGAGATGGAAACAAGTTGTGCAGTATGAATTTACAGCTAATTCATATTGTGCTGATGCTGTTTTGGAAAAAAATTGTTACCAATAGTGTTAATATTAGAAGTAGTAAAAGTATTGCGATGCGTGTTTTGGCAAACAAAATGCAATAAAAGATTTCAATATTTTCAGCGATTGTCCTTTCGTTTGTTTACCTAAATTCTTGTCCTATCATTAAAAATCCAAATTAAAATAGCATGAACTGGATGATATGAATAAAATTGGGAAATAGTACTTCGTTTCGATTCAAAAAATGCCCTTCGTTTTAAATTTATTCTAAAAATTTTTATTCTACAAGAATTTATTATTCATACAACCCATCAACATGCTCCGTTTAAAGTTGGCGCGTCGTAATGGAGTTAAAATGGCGGAGGTTTGCGGTACTCTCTCTACAGGGACTCTAACGCGCGTCATGGCCAACTGGTACGGAAAGAAATTATTCCACCTACCGGAACGTGAATGAATGAAAGATACTCAACCTATCTATTCTACAGCCGTGTCCCTACTTCACAACATCATCGTTCTTTATGGAACATCATACCAAACGCAACCATTCTTTAATGATGCATTTCAGCTGTGATGACAATGTAGAAACTTATTGCTGTCATGACTGCAACTTCCAGACAGATTTTATTGTCACTTTGAAGAAACACATAAAGGAGTGCCACCCAAGTGGAAAAAACAAGCTCCCGACAGATATTAATTACATAATTCACAATTACAGTTGTAAAAATTGCGATTTCGAAACTTATACCTCGATTAAACTTCTTCAGCACACTATTGTTTGTCAAGATGCTCAGCCACTAGCAACCAATTTAAAGTTACACACAACTGAAAATCATTTGCATGAAGTTTGCTGGTACCTCTGTGAAAAATGTACTTACAGGACGAAAAACAAATCGAATTTAAAGAAGCATGTCTACGCCAAACACACAGACAAAAACGACATCAAATGGCAGAAGTGTAATCATTGTTCATATGTGACAATAACGTTAGATCGATTAAGAGCACATATAAAACACAACCATTTGGGTGATAAAACCCAGTGGTATTATTGTGATAAATGCCCCCACAAAACCAAATATAAACAGGGAATAAGACTACACATGACAAATGTGCACGATGAAAATAAACCATTCCAATGTAAAAAGTGTTCGCGCACTTTTAAACATATGGACCGCTTGAGAAGACACACAATTAGCATACACTTGGACGAGGACAAGATTCAGTGGCATCAATGTGAACAATGTCCATACAAAGCTAAAACCAGGTTGACCTTGTTAAAACACATAAATGATATACATAAAGATGGTAAGAAATATCGTTGTGATCACTGTACATATAAATCACGAAGTTCGTTCGAAGTAGCAGAGCATATAAACACTAAACACTCAAAGGGCAGTGAAGTTAAGTGGTACCAGTGTACAAAATGTCCTCAAAAATATAAAACTAATGGAGGTTTAAGCTGTCACGTGCGCATGCAGCATGAAGGATTCCGTGGAAAGTATCAGTGTGAACAATGTGATTTTAAGTCAGGTAGATTGCAAAGTTTAAAAGACCATATAAATTGCAAACATTTAAGTGACACTGAGGTTGAGTGGTACCAGTGTGAAAAATGTCCAGTTAAATATAAAACTAAATCGTCTTTGAGAGACCACATGCACGATAAACATCTGAGTGGGGACAGGTATAGGTGTGATCAATGTGGTTATAATGCAGGTACATCGCAACGTTTAAAAGACCATATAAATAGCAAACATTTAAGTGACACTGAAGCTGAGTGGTACCGGTGTGAAGAATGTCCAGCTAAATATAAAAATAAAACGTCTTGGAGACTCCACATGAGTTTGAAACATCCAAGTGTTAACAAGTATCAGTGTGATCAATGTGATTATAAGGCGAATTATTCGCAGTGTTTAAAAGACCATATAAATAGTAAACATTGATCTGACACTGAAGCTGAGTGGTATCAGTGTGAGAAATGTCCATTTAAATATAAAAATAAATGCTCTTTGAGGGAACACAGACGCCTGATACATCGAGGTGTTAAGAAGTTTCAGTGTGATCAGTGTGAATTTAAGTCACGTTATAGCGGCCCTCTAGAAAAACATATAACTCGCACTCATTGATAACGTTCCAGTAAAGTTAATACGTTATTGATATAATCAACGTGCAAGAAGTGATCTTATGAATGCAATTAAAACAAAAAAATTAATATATAGAAATGAAATGATGAGGTGTTGTCATTAAAAACGTAATGTAATAAGTCATTCTCTCAAATTAATAGAAGTTTTATATTTATTTTTAAGCACTAGAAATATATTTACTATTTTTGTAGTAGTTAATTCTTGCGGTTTTTTCCAAGCTAAAATAAGTGAATTTTTCGACCAACGCTAACACGTTGTGTAAATTTGTTTTATTATTTGTAAATGCACCGTGCATGTTGGGAGTTTAATCGTTAACTAGTTCTAACACAGCTTAACAATCGGGAATTTATTTATATAGAGCAACTACGAGATTTCATGAAATTCACTTAGTCAGGATAACACCCTTTCTTTACAAAGTTATGAGTAAGTTTCTGGATGCTCTTACTTAAGTGTTACATTATAACACTTCTTAATTCCTTACACAAGATTGTTAATAGTTTATTTACGGCAGTTAAATTAACCTAACGTTACCCCACTCTGAGAAAAGATCGTAAAAGTGTGGTAGAATTCATAACATCGTGAACTGAGGTACGAGGGATTATAAATTTTTCCCTTTAGACAGTTATCATCGTTATTATCATCATCACATCACTGAGATATCTTTCTTGCAACGTAGAAAGCCATATCACCGAGACAGTTTTCTCGCAACGTGGATAATTACATCACGGAGGAGCTTTCCTCGCAACGCCTGAAACATTTTGTGTTGTTTATTTATCATGTGTTTTGTCTGGGATAAGCTGGGACAGTTCACGTTATAAACTCTCATAGCTAATGGTTTTAAGTAACCAATCACTTGGATCAAGGCATAATTTAACATAATGTAAATTATTTGTTTGAATCGTTGATAAAGTGTGGCATAATTTAACATTGTGGGTCATGGGGGACGTGCATTTTATTCCTTGGATTTAGACCATTATTTGTACAGCGTCAGAGGATAGATCACATTTCTAGGAGACATATTTTTGACTCATTTTTTTAACGACGCGTTCGTCCGATGCCATTTTGAACCTCCAGATTGCCTATTTTTTTTATGTGTTTGGGGAAATGTAAAACGATGACAATGCAGCTGAATAAGTTCACTTTTAAAAATTAACCGATAACTCTAATGGACATAAAATATTAACCTCATGTAAATTTGTTAGCTTTGCAATTTTTCTTTATCTCACAATTTTAACTTTAGTAATTTTCTTGTTGTATAAATTAAATTGAACGTAAATTTTCATGCTCTGCAGTTTCTAACCTCACGTAAATTTTTGTCTGCACAAGTTTTCTTTCACACCAGTTCTTTTGTATTTATGAATATTTGCTAGTTTTTTTCTTAGATCATATAATAAATAGATACCACCACGCCGTGTTCTTTCCCTAGGAGAGCCTGTGACGACATCCTCCTGTCACACATCTCGCTTGTGCATGGAGGGATTACAATGAAGCTATGCTTGCCTGATCACTATTTGAATTTTGCGCGCCTAAATTTTAGGAAGTATGTCTGAACTAACTTCGCACGCAAGATGTTGACAGCTTGATTTTATAAATAATTCACAGTAGATATCGAAATGAATAGTAAATTATTAGGCAGCAATTGTGATCCTTTATGATTACATCACTTAAAATAGGATCTTTGTTCTAAATTCTAAAATTGTTTTTTGTACAACAACTCGAAAGAGAGGTTAGAAGAAACATCTGTCAAAAGCGATTTGTTGCGCTGGTGTGTTATAAGGATGGAAGTGAAACAGACATATACAGATGAAATGCATATAACAAAGATGAAGATGTGGTGATCACACAAGGAAAGCATTATACTATTCCCCTTGACGTAGAAAACGACAACAGACAGCTTCATGTCTAGTCACAGCTTTCAGTTTGAATATTGGTATCTATTTGTTATATGATCTAAGGTTTTTTTTTGTTTTGTAAATATTTTGTTGATTAATGCTTCCATCATATAAATTGTCCGTTCAATCTTATTAATCTCAGATAAGAATTCTTTTTGTTTAAAAATTTCACGAGAGTGTAGGGCAAATTTAAAGGTTGTTTATTGCTCTTTTTGTAACTTTAACACTTGTTCAGTTGTAGTTTAATGTCAGAGTTATAGAAATTCAACATTTAAATGGAATTGAGGTTAAATAACACCGAAACACGTAGCAGAAGCGGAGTGCGCGGTTCTCTGTCGAGCTGGCGAGATGACGTGACGCTGTCGACTTGGCCCAGTAGTCGAGACCTAACCACGAGTTTGCGACTGTAACAGCCTTTTTGTTTTAATATGGTGTAGATTTCTTTTCACAACATGAAATTTAAAACATGTTTAAAATGGAAAATTTGTATAAAGAAATATCTATTTTGCAATTAGGCTTCGCCCCACAGTTGCAAAAAATGTTTTAGGTTTCCTGTTGGGAAAAGAAGGCTATATTAAGAAAAAACAGGTAAAATATAAGCCCTGCCCACAAAACAGGCGAAATATAAGCCCCGCCCACCAATCCTGTCTCAATTCTGATGATTTTTTTTATTCGTCGTAAGCCGAGGGGGTAATTAGAAAATATTGACTAATTACACTATGCAACAAATTAAAAAAAAATAAAATTCACAGAATGCACAGTATGTAGTTAAAATTTCTTACCTCAAACTCAATTGAGGATTATACTTGAAAGAATCGTATCACATCAGGTTTCAAAATGAAAAGCGTTTATTGAATTTTTTGAAATCATACAAAATTAATAAAACAAAACTTTATTTTTTATTGAAAAAGGTCTTTTTTTTTGAAAGATTGACATTCCTATTGTAGCCAGATCTCGCAGTATCCCTCTGAAGACACCAACAGAAGTCTGCAAGCATGGGTGGATACATAAAAGCGATATTTTTACGATTAAATGCAATCAAGTGTCCCAAAAAGTAAGAAAAACAAAACACCCGTTATCTATATTTTGTGATGTGATATGAGGATAAAACATTTTTTTCTTTAGTATATGGAGTATAGCTACCCAACCTATCACATCAGGTTTCAAAATGAAAAGTGCTTATTGAATTTTTTGAAATCATACAAAATTAATAAAACAATACTTCATTTTTCATTGAAAAAGGTCTTTTTTTCGAACGATTGGCATTCCTATTGTAGCCAGATCTCGCAGTATCCCTCTGAAGACACCAACAGAAGTCTGCAAGCATGGGTGGATACATAAAAGCGATATTTTTACGATTAAATGCAATCAAGTGTCCCAAAAAGTAAGAAAAACAAAACACCCGTTATCTATATTTTGTGATGTGATATGAGGATAAAACATTTTTTTCTTTAGTATATGGAGTATAGCTACCCAACCTAGCACATCAGGTTTCAAAATGAAAAGTGTTTATTGAATTTTTTGAAATCATACAAAATTACTAAAACAATACTTCATTTTTCATTGAAAAAGGTCTTTTTTTCGAACGATTGGCATTCCTATTGTAGCCAAATCTCGCAGTATCCCTCTGAAGACACCAACAGAAGTCTGCAAACATGGGTGGATACATAAAAGCGATATTTTTACGATTAAATGCAATCAAGTGTCCCATTAAGTAAGAAAAACAAAACACCCGTTATCTATGTTTTGTGATGTGATATGACTATAAAACATTTTTTTCTTTAGTATATGGAGTATACCCAACCTCAAACACTATCTGAACTTTCTGTGAATTTTTTAGTGTTGCATAGTGTTATCTTACACTTGGAATGTATAACTGGAAATTTAGATTTAAATTAATTCAAAATTTCCAATCACCAAGCTTTTGGGTAGAATTTGAACTTCATATTTTAAAATTTTGAGTAAATTTTGAGTCTTTAATGTGATTAACACAGAATTTGCACTTTTTTCCTCGAAGTATCAGTTTGATTTTCATAGATTATGTAATATATTGTATAACTTAAATTGAACGTAAATTTTCATGCTCTGTAGTTTCTACCCGCACGTAAATTTTTGTCTGCGAAAGTTTTCTTTCACACCAGTTCTTCTGTATTTATGAATCTTTGCTAGTTTTTTTGTTTTGTAAATATTTTGTTGATTAATGCTTCCATCATATAAATTGTCCGTTCAATCGTATTTATCTCAGATAAGAATTCTTTGCTGTTTAAAAATTTCACGAGAGTGTAGGGCGAATTTAAATGTTTTTATTGCTCTTTTTGAAACTTTAACACTTGTTCAGTTGTAGTTTAATGTCAGAGTTATAAAAATTCAACAGTTAAATGGAATTGAGGTTAAATAACACCGAAACACGTAGCAGACGCGGAGTGCGCGGTTCCCTGTCGAGCTGCCGACCGCAATATCTGCACAAAAGATGCAGGTCTTAAATAGGAGTCAGGGACTGTCGGGATGACGTGACGCTGTCGACTTGGCCCAGTAGTCGAGACCTAACCACGAGTTTCCGACCGTTGTTACGCAACGTTTATTGTCATGCAGATCTATAACTCCCGACACGTTACATAGAGTTGGTAGAAATCTTGAACCTAGGATAGGACTTTGTGACGATAATGGAGGCAAGCAGTTTGAACATTTATTATAAATTCGTTTTCGTTGTAATCTGAACCATTAATAAATTAAGTGTCAATTTTTTCAATGTTGTCCTTATTTCGCGTTGACATTTTTGTCATCTTTTTCTGTGATTGCTATGACTGCTTATTGAAAAAAAATTAAATTGGACGAAGTCGTCTCTGGGGTGTATAATACGCAAAAATTGTCAGACGTGAACGTGTATATATATATACAACCATGGTA